GGGTAAGTAGGAGCAATTACAGGAATAATTAACATTTGTTTAAAATTTAACTATTTTTCAGTAATATTATTGTGTTAATATTTATAATAATATCTAAGTTAATATCATTATTGTTTTAATATTAATATTACTGCATCGGCCTGCAATATTATTGTCACAGCATGCAAAGTTGTCGTCTGAGTGCAATATTATTGTCTCAGACAATAATTTTACTATCTAAAACAGTAATATTGTTATACAAGAGCAATATTATTACTGTCTTAGACGGTAATTTTACTTACTATTGTATCAATTACCATTCTTCTAAAAAAAATATACGTCACCAAGACGGTAATTTTACTTAATAATTAATATTGTATCTGTCACCATTCTTCTAAAAAAAATATATGTCACCATTTACATTTGGGCCATTAACAAAATAGAATAGCTCCGCTACAATGGGCCCGAACAATATTCACATTTAATTTGGGCCATTAACAAAACATGTCCAAAATCAAGCCTTGCTCGAATCGAGTTACGTGTAATTTTCTTTCATTACTTCTTACATGAATAAATTAAATTAAAAAAAAAAAAGGTAATCCTAAATACTGAACCAAAGTGAAAAGGTGATGGAAGAAGGTAGATAGAATCACTACAGAGTACACGAAGACAAATCCATGATGCCACGCCACTAATATTCCTAAACAAGAAGTTAAAATTACGGATATAGACATATGCTTCATACTTTGTAGTTTCCATTTCAAATTCATCTATGAATTCAAAATTTTAATTACAAATTTAATCTGGCTTTTAATTAAGATTATTTGTGTCTGATAAAAAAAGTAAAATTAAAATATCAACTATGTTGTTTGAAAATTCTAATTCGACAGACTTTGTCAACATATTTTAGATCGAGCTCGTCGCATAATCTCTAGTGTGGTTCACAGGTGTACGACAGTGAAATTTATCTAATGTATTTATGTACATTTGTAATTTTATCGTGGGTATTTTTGGAAAACGAATATCGAGCTCAAGAAATAACGTCTAATTAATTTTTTTGAATATATATCATTTGAACAATAGAAATGAAGTGAGTTTATTGGCCTCGCGTTACTAATGTCTATTATGGGACAATTCTTTCCTAATTAGGCAAAATATTAAAAGATTAATTTAAATTTAAGAAAAATAAAAAAAAGAAAATGTTTGGTGAGATAAAAAAATATAAAACACGTGAGTGGTGACAAAGCTCATAGCTCCCTAACGATACGCGCTATTCACTTGCATACAATACAAATACTTCCACACACACGCATCTCAAAAGCACGCGCGCTATTCTGTATATTATAAATAAATATATAAATAAATAAATAAATGTGCATATTACTGAATAAACTTTATCAGGTACAAGTACAACATAGAATAATATAATTAGTTAATTATTAACAAGATAATAGAGGGTGGAAGCATTATATTTTAAAAAACTAAATAAATGAAAAGCAACCTATCAGCATCAGCAGCTTTCATCACAGCATGCCATTCTATTCCAACAAGACAAAGACAAAAATTATAAATAATAATAATAATAATAAAAAGAATTGACAAGAAAGAGAGAGAGAGAATGTTTTGTTGGTTTTCCCATTTATCAAAGAGATAGAAATCGAGGGAATGTTTTTGACAGTAGTCTATTTAATTAATTAATATAATTTAAAATAATAAAATAATAATAAAAAGAAAATTCCATAATTAATCATAGTACTATTATAGTTCAATCACAAAATCATAACCTCCTTAGATTATTCCCACTTCTAATGCTTGTCCTTCTGTCTCTCTTTCCAAACACTACATTCCAAACACACCACAACAACATTAACCAAAAAGATAAAGATAAAAGAAAAAAAGAGGGAAACAAAAAAAAAAAAAGTTTTCAAAATGGGATATAATTAAAATTTGAAAGGCAAACATAATTTGTTGAAAAAAGAAAAGAAAATTTTAAAGTTGATGGTGCACCCACTAAAGAGAGGCACCACACTAATAAAAAGTATGGACAATAATGTAAAGAGCATTAGCCCAAAACCTATTATTCCTCCCTCCCTCCCTCCAAACACGCCCTTAGCCTTAGGCCTTAGCTTCTTCCATGTGCTATAACCCTCTTTTTGGATTTTTCTTCTTCGCCATTTTCTTCTTTAAAAACACTTTGCAAGATTGGGTTCTTGCCCTTTTCCTCTTGGATCTTCTTCTTTGTTTCCCGATTCTCCCTTTTCTTTTTTCTTTCTTCTTTTTCTTGAATACACCAAAACCCTTAATCAACAATAAAAAAATAATTATAAAGAAAACCCTATAATTCTCTCTCTCTCTCTCTCTCTCTCTCTCTCTCTCTCTCTCTCTCTCTCTCTCTCTCAATATGTATATATATATGTACGTAGCCATGCAGAGAAGTTCTAATTAATCCAAGCACATCAATTTTCTTGATCATTCATTTCTTCATAAACGCACACACAAACACACACAAAAAGAAAAAAGAGAAAAAGATGATGATAAACCCTAATCATGAAAATCGGAGTGTATCATCGATAGATCTACTGCAAGAGAGGTTCAGGCAGTTGCAGAAAATGAAAGAGCTGAGACAGGAGAAAGAGCTTCTCAGAATCCTGTCGGAATCTGCAGACAGGTCATCATCGTCGTCATCGTACGGTTCTCAACCTCCCATAATAACGCATGATGATAAATATTACTTATCGGCTGCTGCGATGAAGCTTCTTCCTGCAAATAATAATAAGCCGACGACGACGCGTGTAATTAATAATGATTGCCAACTATCGCTTTCTCTCTGGCCAGCTGATTCACCGTACATCGCCAAGCGCGCAGCCGACAACCAGTCAAATGTCGGCCACCTTTCGAAGTCGTCGTGTTTTGCAGATGCCATGTTCATCAGGCTTGAAAGCTCCGGCGCCGGCTCCGATGTTGACACCTCTCTCCGCCTGTGAATCGCGACTTTAATTTAATATATATAAATATCGATCGCGGGGTTAATTAACTGGCTTGTATTATATATGATGCATGCATCAGTTTTATGGTTATGTTGATCTTTGGAGATTGGAGTACTGCTGTTAATTAATGGAAAACTAAGGTTTTTTAATTTTTATTCATAGTTAAATATCTCTTATAATAATAGTTTGGAAACCATACTAGAGACGTAAACGAAGCATTTTAGTTCCAGGGCAGGTGATTTTCGAAACTTTCGTAGGTGATTTTACTTATAGTAGGTCGTTATGTAATTATGTTATTAATTGTTTGATAATATTTATACGGGTTTTTGGCACTTTGCACCCTTAAATTACATCCTCTTGGCACTTTGCACCCTTAAATTGTAAAATTGGCAGATTGCACCCTTTAAACATAAATTGTTTGGCACTTTGCACCCCAAATCACTTTTGGCTTAAAAAACTTACCTGCAACTTGTTGGAAACCTGGAAGATGGGCAAATTCATAATGTTCTTATTATCAATCCTCTTCCCTCAATTTTTAATCACCGTTCCACCATTTTTATCTTTCGTCCCTTCAATCAAAAAATTCTAAAATCTTTTTAGCCATTTCATTCAATGGTAAAATCGGTATAAACACTAAACAATAATAGTAAATCATTTTTTTTTTCTTTGAGTATAAAAAATAATGTAACTGGAAATTTTAGGCCGAGCCCTCAATTTTTTTTTTGAATAGTCAAATGACAAAATAAGGCTAATGAGCGTTACCATGGAATAATAGTTTCATGATGAAAAGATTTTTGTGCTCCCATTGAATAGTTTGGATCGGCAAGATTATTAAAAAGAAAATAGCGTTACCATAGAATAAAACTTGATTTTTTGAAGGTGTGTTACCGGACTTTTGTCTATATATTCCGACCATTCTTGAGTTTTAGTTCAAAATTTATATATTATGGCAAATCGAAACGGGGAAGAAGAATTTATGATTTTTTGATTAATAGGACGAAATATAAAAATGGTGGAACAATGATTAAAAATTGGGGGAAGAGGATAGATAATTAAAGAATTGCGAATTTGCCCATCTTTCATGCTTTCAACAAGTTGCAGGTAATTTTTTTAAGCCAAAAATGATTTGGGGTGCAATGTGCCAAAAAAATTATGTTTAAAGGATGCAATCTGCCAATGTTGAAATTTAAGGGTGCAAAGTACCAAAAGGGTGTAATTCAAGGGTGCAAAGTGCCAAAAACCCTATTTATACCATCTTTTAATTAATTAATGAACTAGTAGTATAAAATGCTTCTCAAAACATAAAAGAAAATAACCAAAAACAAGAAAGCATGTAATTAATCAATTACCCCCAGCTCCTTTAAACTCATCTAGCCTTTTATTACTTCCAAAATTGAAAATTAATTCCAAAAAAAAAAAGATCCATCATAACATAGAATATGAATATAGTAGTATCATGACATCATCATCTAACCTAATATCACTTGATAACTATTATTATTATTATTAAAAAATTGCATTCTCATCTAATATTATTGTCATTTTTTGTTGGTTGGAGAATATTTTGTCACTTTTTTTGATTTTTAATTTTTTTTAAGAGAATATTATTTTAACTGGGCTTTGAAGCCTTAACCCTCGAATGAATTGGGCTGCAACTGCTAGCTGATTTCTTTTGAAGCCCAAAACTATTGGGCTGTCTTTATTTTAATTTGGTAGCACTTTTACCTCTTTTTATATTTTGTTGTTAAATGGATTGATCCATATTTTATTTCCCTAAAAAATGTATAAAATTAGAAGACCAAAAAAACACGTTAAATTGAAAATCTTATCTAAAATTTTTTCATCATCCAGTTTTCTTAATACTAAAAATTAAGAAAAGAAAAAGAAAAAGAAAAAGAAAATGACAAGAGTCAGTGGGTCAGTGAACAAAAGTCAACACGCGGGAATGAGCAAACGTTGCCTTCGAGCGGGTCCCGCCACTCAGCTGACTACCGGTAACCTGCTTATCCGGTAATGAATTCCGCCTTTATTGTATTCATTTCACACCTCGTCGGGTCAAGGAGTACTGGAGGTGAGATCCGATTAAACAATTGAAACAAGGCACAACAAAATGCTACTGGGGTAGGTTAGGGTTTTTCGATTTTCAAACGGAAAGAAAGGGGTGAAATTTGAGTCGATGTACGACATCTGAATTAAATTCCGCGGACTTAACTCATATTTTCAGGTAAAAACTGGATCTTTAGTTCTTTCCTTTTCCGGTTCGTAATTTTTTTTCTTCCGGTTTCCCTAGATCTTGTTTCTGACGTCGTTCATTTTTTTTGGGGATTTGAGTGTTGGGTGTCTGGTAATTTGGAGTTTTTTTCTGTATTCATATTGTAATGTGATTGAACTTTTCAGTAGATTTGTTGATTCACTTGTACTGAGTAGCTATGTGCGGCATTTATATATAGACAAGTTCAATTGCGTTTACCTTGGTGGATTCCACTTTCACTAACTTAAAAGCTAGTAGATACGCCATGTACGCCTGCTAGAAATGTTTGATTTCCGTCGAGAAAATTAGAATTGTTGGTGTTCTTGCAATTAGAATATTTGATCCACCTTTGCTTGCTCGGTTGTGTATTTCGAAGTTTTCATGCTAGTAGTACAAATAACTGCAGGCTTGGTTCAAATTCACTTGTTAGTTTTTGCTTTTCATCGTTTTATTTTGAAATCAAGTTTTCCAGTTTCGCGAGATCATGCTACCGTTTTTTATTCTCATTACATCATAGATCGAACAATAACTTTGCAACTAGGTAATCACGTTAATTGATTGTACTTTTCCAATTTTTGCTCCTGCAGATAGATACAAGGGTATTATCAGATGGGAACATCTTCTGGATCTCATTTCAATAATCAATCCTCAATGTTGCCTCCTCGTCAACAGCCACGGCCTGGTGGAGGGGGGCTTCAAACCTCCCTCTCTTTGGTTTCACCAGATGCCTGTGGATCTCCAAATATTCACGAGCGTGGCTCCAATTCTGATCAAGTCCGTGAATCCCCATCGGAAAGTGCGAGTTCACGGGAAACCTGGCCCACTGCTGATGCTTTGGTAGCCAAGAAAATGGAGAAGGAAAAAGAAAGGGATAATGGTTTTGCTGAGCACTCTGTTACTCGGCGTATTTCTAATTCGGATAAGCTCTCTCTCCGTGATGTTGCCAGGGAAAGAGTAGAAATTATAGCGGAAACAATGCAGAACCTCCCAGACGAGTATCTGGATAAGTTTAAAAACGAGCTTCGGGCTTTTCTTGAAGGTTTAGGTAATTCTCAGCAAAGAGAAGAGTTTGTGTTGTTGCAGAAGGTGGTCCAAAGTAGAGGTGATTTAACGGAGAAAACGTTGGTTATGGCACACAGGGTTCAGTTGGAGATTCTAGTTGCAATGAAAACCGGAATTCAGGCGTTTTTGCATCCGAGTGTCAGCCTCTCTCAAGCTTCTCTCATTGATATTTTCTTGTACAAGAGGTGCAGAAACATAGCTTGTGGAAGCGCATTACCTGCGGAGGAGTGTACATGCGAGTTGTGCTCGAAGAGAAGCGGTTTCTGCAACCTATGTATGTGCGTGATTTGCAACAAGTTTGATTTCGAGGTTAACACGTGCCGCTGGATTGGATGCGATTTGTGTTCGCATTGGACTCACACTGATTGTGCTATTCGAAATGGGCAGATTGGCATGGGCCCTTGTGTTAAAAACGGTGTAAGCTCGGCAGAGATGCTTTTCAGGTGCCGAGCTTGCAGTCGAACATCTGAGTTGTTAGGTTGGGTAAAAGATGTGTTCCAGCATTGTGCACCGAGCTGGGATAAGGAAGCTTTGACTAGAGAACTTGACTGTGTAAGTAGAATTTTCCGGGGGAGTGAGGATTTAAGAGGCAGAAAACTCTTCCGTAAATGTGAGGAGCTTGTTGAAAAGCTGAAAAGTGGGATGCAAGAACTTATTCCTTGTAAAGTTATCCTAATGTTTTTTCAAGGTAAAATTTATTCATAATGGCCATTCTTGATAGTATCTCATTTCGTTCTGCTGAAAATCACAGTTTTTTCTTGTTTAAATACAGAAATCGAGGACCCTTCGAAGAATCAAGACAGTGAAGAAGCTGGAAGGGCGATATCCCCACAGGAAGCATTCAATAGAATAGCTGATGTAGTGCAAGAAGCGGTTCGAAAGATGGAAATGGTGGCTGAGGAGAAAATGCGGATGGTGAAAAAGGCCCGTTTAAGTGTAGAGGCTTGTGAGCAAGAGCTAAAGGATAAAGCTAGAGAAGTTGCTGCACTAAAGATGGATAGGCAGAGAAAGAAGATACAAGTCGATGAACTCGAAAGCATTGTGAGACTTAAACAGGCCGAAGCGGATATGTTCGAAATGAAGGCAAACGAGGCTCGAAGAGAAGCTGAAAGACTGCAAAGAATCGCACTCTCCAAGACTGACAAGTCAGAAGATGATTACGCCAGTAGGTACCTCAAGCAAAGATTGCACGAAGCAGAAGCCGAGAAGCAGTACTTGTTTGAAAAAATTAAGCTTCAAGAAAGTTCTAGAACATCACAGAGCAGTGGAGGAGGTAATGACCCTTCACAGATGATGTACAACAAAATCCAGGACCTTCTAAAAAACATGTGATATTCATCGTACGTGCACAATTATATGTTTTTAATGTTTGTGAAACTTAGAGTTTTGATGTGTGAATTATTTGCTATTAAACCATGTTGTTGTACTAATTTGTTTTAGCATAGGGAAGGGAACGTCTTGATGCTAATGTACACTAATATCTTGCAATGTGAATCGTGATTTGTGTTGGTGATATTGTCGTCGTAATTGTGTATTTAATGTTATACAATATGATGAAATTAATACCAATTACTTATGAAAAGGTGGTTATTGATAATACGGAGGTGATTATCTGGACATGTGGAGAAAAAGGTAAAGGAGGGTGGTGAGAGAATCCCTTTGCTTTTTTTCGCTTTATGTTTCCTTAAGAAGTAAGGTGAATTTGATGCTCTCTCAAAACAGAGAGATTTGGATGATTCTTCTATTCAATGTTATCTTTTCCCCTAACATCATATGCTGATTGCTTACGGTAAGAGATTTGTCGTCGAAAATGGTCAAAGTTTTGGCTTTCGAGGAAAACAATTTAATGTGACAACTCAGCATAATTAATTGTTGTTTTGTCATATGTTGACTGGTAATCTGATTGTAAAAATTAGAATCCTGGATTAATTATTATTATTCTCACTTTGGTTTATATCAGTTTTTATCCCATTGATAAGGTTATTCCATGTGACCATAAATTGTGAATGCAGCAAGGATAAGATTGGGATTTCGGAAGTAAATCTCTTCCAAATCGTTGTCACAGGATCCATACAGGTTGTATATATATACATATATACATCTAACTCCATTTATATTCTCTTCAGTTGCCGCCAGGCAAAAATGTCCATGATGTTGAAGAAGATTACGATATCTCTAATCTTCTTGCTCTCGATATCGATGAACATCTGTAAGATTCTTGCTCCATTATTATCAATAGTTCCTTATGATATTTACATCTTAACTAAATCTTGATATTCCAAATATTGCTTCTTTTTTTAAGATGCGCAGTTTGAGGACTATTGCATAGCGGACGAGCAAACTCCGGATGATGTGTTGATGGTTGCTATGAAATGGGCTTGCGAAAACGGGGCGGATTGCGGGCCCATTCAAGAGAATCAGCCGTGCTATCTCCCGAACACAACAATGGACCACGCCTCGTACGCATTCAACAGCTATTACCAGAACATGAAGCACAAAGGAGGCAGTTGCTATTTCAATTCCGCTGCACTTTTATCTGCTCTTGATCCAAGTAAGCGAAAATCTCTAACACAATATGCTTAGGCGTAAAGAATTCTTGAAAGTTGCTCGATTATTTATTAAGGATTAGTTTTTATAAAAACTGGATAACAAATTAACAAAGACAGTTACATGTGGCTACATTGTGCAGCCCATGTGTAGTTTGTGTGAAATGAAAGGATTCATCCCTCGTTTTATGGATCTCGGTTCAAGAATCAATCGGTACACCTTGAGAAGAAGAAACTTATGATTCTACATTGAAGGATTTGGATTTGATCGAGGGTATTTGAGGAAGAATTCAAAATAACTTTACTTCGTGTAGATTTTGAATCCTCCAAAATAACTCAAAATAATCGAAATTGATTGCTAATAAAAAAATAGGATTTTTTATTTATAGAAAACTAATAAATACTTGGATCCATTGCTATTTCTACTATTTAGGAGTCGATTCAAAAGAGCTTAATCGAATTCTACACGAACGTATTACATATTTTAGGTACTAACAGATGAATTTGTTTGTTAGGTATATTGTTTTTTATTGAATATATTCCATTTGTTTCAAATAGTGTCGTCTTGGATTGGTGCACACGTAATAAGAAAATTAATAAATATGCACCCACTTTTTTAGGAAAATACATATAGCGTGACTAAGATACCGGTCTCGTCAATTTTATTTTTCTCGAAATAAAACACGTAGAAAGAGATTCTGAAGTTATTTCGTGTAAAATTGCAGGCCATGGCGCATGCAAATTCCAGTCTCTCCCTTGAGAACAAAATGGCAGAATCAAATGTATTCACATTTGTACGGTTGTAGGAAGTCTAAACATTTGTGTTACAGAGTTTTACAGTGAAAAGTTTATGAAATGTTTTTTTCCCTTTTTATTATTATTAAACAATTTTTAATAAAGAATTATTGAAATTCTGTTATGCTAAATCTACACGTGTGCATTATCCAAATTAGTAGTTTGGGCTTTCATGTTTGTGTTGAAGGCCCAATGACTGCACAGTGGGCCTTCAATCTGATATTTTCTTTGTTTGGGGCATTACATTCAGCCCAACATTAACCAGTCTAGTTTAAAATTGTTACATAGTAAGAAAAGAAAAAAATAAAATCCTAATAATAATTTAATTGGGCGTGAAAGTTGTTTTGCCGTGCGCGTTTTGGTCGTGAGCCATCTTTTCAAGATTTATAGAACAAAAAATGAACAAAGTTTACCTCATTGTATTGTGTATCTCGATCCTCATCTGATACACGTTTATTTGATCTTTTACTTATGAAAAAAAATACTTATTTTTAACACTTCCACACAAACCCTATTTTATGCAAGGATGATGCAATTATGACTACATTAGTATACGTTCTCAACCCTTTATCAACCACTTCACTTAATAGGAGAAGTAATGATATGCATAAAAATTGAATCTTTATGGTTGTATCATAGTATATATATACATACATAGTAGAAAACGTAGTTAATGGTCCAAAATGTGTTCACATCCACACACTCCTTAAATTGAAATCTTGACAGCAATAATAATACTACACGACAAGGACAAGGAATCATGGGTCATCATGAATTCCACCATTACAATCTACACCTCACTAGGACGCTCCAGCCAACCAATCCCCCCTCTCTCTCTCTCCTCTCTCTCTCTTTCTCTCTCTTCTCTGTTTCTTGTAGCAAAGAAAAAACAGTAAGTGTGCCCCCCTCCCTGCCTAAAATCTTTAGGCCTCTAATTTTTTAAATGCTTTCTCCAGGTGTCTGATCACCCCTTATTCAATGTTACATTTATTGCTCCATGAATTCGTGAATCAAAGGTGACCTGTCCGCCTGTTCCTTTTCATTTGCACATATAAAGAAATTTAAAAATTCAATCTTTTTTTTTCTTTCTGTGAAAAGTATAGTGGGGGTTTCAGATTTTCTAATTACGAAATGAAAAAAAGATGCAATTTTTATTAGTGGGTCTGTCTTGGAATGTAGGGTAGGTGAATGCATTAAATTCACCACTACTCTTTTTTCTTTGTTTTTGTGTGTGTGTGTGTGTGTGTGTGTGTGTGTGTGGGTTTGTCCATTCTTAACTGTGGTTAGTGCTGAACAATCACTTTTGTTTTTGTTGTCTTCAGCAAAAAGGTTGTCTAAATTAGTTTGTAAGAAAGAAAAAGGATGAGTTCTGATGTTGGTGTGGGTGTGGGGGTGAGCCCTGGTAATGTTCCAGTCTACCATGGGAGCAATTTGAAGGTTCTTGACATGAGAGTGAGGCTAGCAGAGCTAATTCTTAGGTGTGTGATTTGTGGGCTAGCCATTCTTTCTGCTGTTCTTATAGGCACCGACACTCAGGTTAGAGAAATCTTCACTATAAGGAAGAAGGCCAAGTTTACTGACATGAAAGCCCTTGTGTAAGAAGATCCTATGATTTTTTTTTTTTTTTTTTTTTTTTTTTTTTTTTTTTTCTATAAAAAGATTGTGCTTCTTGATTATGCTATACTAAAGTTCTAATCTTTGTATGTTTTTATTGTTTTTTTGTTTTCTTTAAAATATTTGCAGTTTCTTGGTAATAGCTAATGGGTTAGCAGCTGCATACTCACTGGTTCAGATTTTGAGGTGTGTTTTGAGTATGATTAGAGGGACTGTGTTGTTCAACAAGCCCTTGGCTTGGGTCATTTTCTCCGGCGATCAGGTTTCGATTTTTGCTCGATTTATACACTATTTACCGTTACCGTTGTGTTTGCATCTATGTGATTAGTTGCATATTTTGTTCCTGAGATAATGTTTTGCATGTTAGTTTCTTTGAATTTATTACTTCAAGACAGCATTTTTTTTTGCTAAATTTTTCGAGATCGTGTAATTTAATTTCGACGTTTTTTGAGTATCTACGAGCTGAACGAAAACCCGATAATTGATCCATGAGTTTCACTTTCCAGCTCAATACATCTAGAAATAGTTTGGAGCTCAAAGCTAGGGGAAATCTAATCAAACTTTTGGCAGGAAAATGAAAGTAACGAAACGGAAAAGTTAGAAGTTAAAGCTTCTCTTATATAATGTTTGTGTTGGTTCACTTGTTTGCAGTTGATTGCCTACTTGACTCTGGCTGCGGTGGCGGCTGCTGCACAGTCAGCAGTGTTTGCGAAATTAGGTCAAATGGAGCTCCAATGGATGAAGACCTGCGATTTGTACGGCAAATTCTGCAACCAAATCGGAGAAGGTGTTGCGAGTGCAGTAATTGTGTGCCTCTCCACGGTTGTGCTTTCGGCTATTTCTGCTTTCAGTCTGTTTCGTTTGTACGGAGATAATAAAGAAAAGAGCAGCGGTGGATGGTAAAAAAATACTACGAGTGCAACTTATATATATGTGTATGTATGTATATGTATATGATGTACCAGTTGTTGGTTAGTTTTTCTCTTTGAACATGAAGAAAAATGTAATGCTTTTTTGTTGGTTTTATGAAGAAAGGTTGTCTTGTCTGTGTATTGTGAAGCTGCTTCTTCTCTGTGGACATGTTTATGTATTAACACTGTTAAATTACTGTATTATTACTTTTAACATTCTATTCGATGCTACACTCGGTAGATCTTTACAATTCATATAAACACAAACACACCCACATTGGTGTGTATTAACGATAAAAAATCACTCACTGTATTTTCTACGGGTGTAACATAGAAATAACCTTACTTAGATACATATTTAGAATAAGTCCTACAAATATATAATAAACATATATAGTAGATCTCTACAATGATTTAGGGAATTTCTGAAATTTAGATTTCCGATTTTTACAAAAAAAATTAAAAATCGGAACAAAGTTGGAATTAATTTTGCTCTCCCAAATAAAAAAATAGAATTTTTTCGAAAGTACTAATTTCGATCCAATGGGTCCCAATTCCACCCTCGCCAAAGCTTTTGACTCCCTTTCTGCCAACTCAGACACATCCTATTGGTCCTTGCTGTGCACCCGAGTCACAGGGAAGATTAGCCTTCTCCACCGCCTCAGGTTGATTTTTTTATTCCTCTTTTAGTTATCTTAAGCCCTAATTTCGATTGACCACCTCACTATTTCGGTTAAACAGAAATTCGAGAACCAAGATTGAATATCTGCATAATCCTTTTCATCAATCGCTTATACTCCGAACTCATACCCTTAAGAAGACGGTGGTGATGTCGGAGAAGTTTTCAGCTACGTTAAGAATTGGCGATTTGAACGATTTCATAGCACCGTCGCAGGGTTGTGTAATTAAAACTGAGGTAACTCGCTGTTTAATTTCGAGTAGAGGTTTCGAATTCGCAATTGTAATTTCACGTATTTCCATTTTTTTTTGGGATTGTTGAGCAGTTTGAGATTCTTATTTGTTTGATTGATATATTCTGTTGACTTTCATTTGACTAGTAATTTGTTCAAATTGAATCATTTGCCTACTGATTCTCGTTTCGATGGAAATATAAGGTCGGGCATGAAAAATGAAAACCCTCAATCTTCCCCTGTGAGAATTGATATACATAATTCTGTTAAGTGTGTTTTGTTTGTTTCTATGTCTGCTGTTCTGTTTATTATGTTCTTAGTAGTTACGAATTGTTTGCTCGTGTACAGAATGTAGGGAAAGCAAGGATTGCTCCTAAAGTAGATAAAACTGAGCCCGTGAAGATCTCGCTCAAAGACTGCTTAGCGTGCAGGTAAATTCTACTTGCGTTTTTTTTTTTTTTTTTTTTAAATATGCTGATTGAATGTAATTAGCTGTTGATTGAGAGAGCAAAAGTTGAAGAGGGTTACTTGAGCACTAATGTGTATGCTCTTGCAGTGGGTGCATAACATCTGCAGAGACGGTTATGCTCGAGAAGCAGAGCTTAGATGAGTTTCTTTCTAACCTTGACAAAGGAAAAGCTGTAATTGTCTCCCTTTCTCCTCAATCTAGAGCTTCTCTTGCTGTTCATTTTGGCATTTCTCCCCTTCAGGTAATATCTTACACACGGTCACATGCAATTTACCATTATTCACAAAATGTTGGATGGGTGAATTGTTGGTTTTTTTACTTTGTGTGTATGTTCCTTTTCTGACCAGATTCTTGATGATTTTTCAGGTTTTTCAAAAGCTTACAACATTTTTGAAGTCTTTGGGAGTGAAAGCCGTATTTGATACAAGCAGCAGTAGGGATTTGACACTTATAGAGTCTTGTAATGAATTCCTAACACGATATAAACAGAGTAAATCAGCTGATGATAAGAAGTCGAAATCAGCCCTTCCTATGATTTCATCTGCATGTCCAGGTATGCAACATTAATAACAATAAATGGTGTACCTCTGCTAGATGATCACTGCTTATTGCGCACCCGAAATGTGAAGTGCTTGACCAATTGTAGAATCTTTCTCCGTTTTCTCATATTTTTTATTTTTGGAGGTTTCTTTTTCTCTTTCGTTTTCTTTTGTTTACTTTTTGTTGGGGGGAAGTGGGAGGGATGTGGGGTTGCGTTGTTTGGTTTGAGTGGATGATGATGATGATATAATAGATTTTTGCAAATTGGTGGTTTATGACTTCAAATGTTTCTGCTTTATAACTGACTTGTTAATGATATGCAATGCAGGCTGGATATGCTATGCCGAAAAAACACTTGGATCATATATTCTTCCACATATTTCTTCAGTGAAAAGTCCTCAACAAACAATTGGAGCTGCCATTAAGAACCACCTGTGCGAAAGATTATCTATTAGGTGATTATCATTTGCATGATTGTTGTGGATCAGCTAGTAATCGCACTTGTTTTACGATATGATTTCTCATATTGTAGGACTATCGAATAATAAATTATTATTAAATTGCTTACAGCTCTGTTTGTATACAAATTTGAAAGTGGATTTGGTTCTAACTCTCAGGATATATTTTATATCTCGTTAGGCCAGAGGAGGTATATCATGTCACCGTGATGCCTTGTTATGACAAAAAGCTTGAGGCTGCTCGGGATGACTTTATATTCCAGGTGGATTCTGATGGTGAAAGAGTTACAGAGGTTGACTCAGTTTTGACAACTGGAGAGGTTTTAGATCTAATTCAGGTAATCTGTTTTGTGATATCAACCTGAATCTTTAGTTATTCTTACTTCTCATCTTCGTCGCATTCTTTCTAAGAAATTAGTCGATGTTTCAATGTTGCAGTTGAAAGCAGTTGATCTTACAACCTTGGAGGAATCTCCAGTTGATAACCTGTAAGGGCCTTATTGTATAGTTTATATCTTTAACAGGCTATGATGACTCAGATCTGATAAAGCGATTCTATTCTTCTTCAGATTGTCAAACGTAGATGAGGAAGGTAATCTATATGGTGTCCGTGGAAGCTCTGGAGGATATGCTGACACAATACTACGAAATGCTGCAAAGGTTGTTTTTGGAAAGGAAATTGAAGGTCCTCTTGAGTTTAAGACGATAAGGAATGCAGATTTTCGCGAAGTGACTCTTGAAGTAAGTATGATTTATCCTCCTTAGGCACAGTGTTTGCTGAATTGTGGGCAGTCATGTCACCTAGATTTGATACTTTATAATAGCTTGCTTCATTGAGCTTTTTTATCTGTTTATCCATCTTGATTATTCAACCACCCTTGGGGAAGATGAACACTTATTTTGAATCTGTAACTGTATTGATTTGCCGACTATTCTGCTCCTAGGTCGCATATTTTTATTGTTTTGTTTTTTGTAAGACAACTTCTGCTTCTTGCGTTGCAGATAGACGGTAAAATTGTGTTGAGATTTGCACTGTGTTATGGGTTTAGGAACCTCCGTAACATTGTTACGAAAATAAAATCTGGGAAGTGTGAATATCATTTCTTGGAGATTATGGCATGCCCTTCAGGTAATATCTCTTTTCTACTTACAATTAGGTAAGTTTAATTGATACATGTTGCTCTCTAGATCATTCTTGACTTGTCATATTCAAACCTGTCTCAGGATGCCTAAATGGTGGCGGTCAAATCAAACCCAAACCTGGGCAATCTGCAAAAGATTTGATTCAAGTGTTGGAGACAACATATTCTGAAAATGTAAGTCTGATATAGTTGTCCGTAAGAACATGTTCTTGAAATATTTAGAATCATATCTGATTTCCTTTGTTTCACCGAACTATTATTTAGGTATTGGTGGCCAATCCTTTCGAAAACCCGGGAGTCAAAAGGTTATATGATGACTGGCTTGGATATCCTGGTTCGGAGAAAGCAAAGAGACATCTTCATACAGAATACCATCCTCTCGTTAAAAGCATTTCCTCTCAGTTGCAGAACTGGTGAGAATTGTTCGATTTTGGCTGATGAGATATTCAGTTGACCATGTGGTAATAAGGTTCACTAGCACACGAACCCGTTCTTGTTCTTTTAGCTTTATAGCAATGGTGTTTATACAACCTTTTTTTTTGTTTCCTTTTTTGGTAGTCAGATCATGTCCAATAGGAATCCAATTTTGTTAGGATATTTTCTGTATAGGTAATTTGTCAAATGTCATAAATATGTGGTCTACCGATCTTTTTATTTATATTGATGAACGAAACATTGTATAACTTATTATCCGAGCCATCTCCTGTAAGCGAAGGTTCTTGACTTGTAAAGATACGTTTCATTGCTCCTATTTCTGTAGAATCGGTTTTTGAATACGATGTTGTTCGATATTTTTAAATTTCAAAATATTGCTGATATTGAGTTATTTCTCCAAAGGCTATCATATTTCTTGGAATCATAACAGTTAGTTATCTGTCAAAATATTTGTTGTCATTGTGCATGCATTAGGCAATTTGATGATTACATATGCATATGCATGAAATTATAGCAAAAAAATATATAAATGGCTTAAATGCCTTTACAATTAATTGTTTCATAGCTATTTTTTTAATTAATTAGTTAAGAGTGATATAATTACAAATTGAGTAAAACCATTGGAAATATGACAAATAATATTGGACGAAGAAAAAAAGCTACAAATATTTTGATACTGAGGAAATATCTTTCAAACGTAACCTTCTATGTCTGAAAACAATGTAGTGTAATGAAAATCATCCTTATTACAAAATATTAATTCTAATGTGGCCCACCCAAATGATTTTTAATTTCACTTGAAAAATAAATTTCTTAAAAATAAATTTCAAAACCATTTGTAAAATCTCTGAATAGCACTATTATTAATATATATATTTTTTAATAATAGTCCAATTGAAACGGAAAACTGGAAAAAATTTGAGCTATTAAAAGATAAAAAAAGAAGGAAATTGATAAAATAAAAAAATAAAAAAAAAAAAAAGAAAGAAAGAAAGAAAAAAACTATTGAAGGAAATTATAAAATAGGAAAAAAAAGAAAAATAACATATTAAAGTCGATAAAAAATGAAGAGTGGGGACCACTTGCAATAGAATAAAAAAGAGAGAATATCAATAAATTATTATTAGTACAGAGAAAAAAAAGAAAAGAAAAAAGGTCCTAGGTTTCTTCTGTCAAACAACAGTCTTAGGACATTCTTGCATATTCTGACACCACCACCCACCTTTCAACCTTAGAACAGATCTCCTTCGGGCAACCAAAAACATGGTAATTCCCAATTTACCCCCACCCCTTCTTACAGTGTGTGTGTGTGTGTTTGTGGGTGAGATGAAGTTCAGGTGAACTTTAGTCTCTCTTTTCGTTAATTCCAATGTCTGATTTCTTAGCCAGTTTTATGCGGCATTGAATTTGATGTTGCTTTCTCCAAGGGTTTTCGAAGAATTCTTCATTTGTTTGCAGATGTAAATCAGGGTTTCTTTCATGATTGATTTTTTTATTTATTTAAGAAAACTGTCAACAATTTGTTTTATACATAAAATCATATGTTCTTTCTCTGCGGATTCAGAGAATTTTCTCCGCGCAGCCGTTACATTTTTTTTCTTCAGTGTTTTGTGTAAGAAATGGTCGATCCAGAGGTAATTGAGCTTTACCAAAGAGAGGCTGTTGTAGGCGTTTTTTCTTTCTTACTGATTTACTTTCCTTGCTAAATTAGGGTTTGATTTTTTTTTTTTTTTTTTAGTGTGTTCAATTATTCCAATTGATCTAGTGTTCTTTCTGCTGGATCAGCTGTTTGATCTTGATTCTTGATGAACCGGGTTGTTATAAAAGATGTGTAATGTAGCTTTCGTCATCGACAATTGTTTATTTATTTCGTGCTTCGGAAAACATGGAATTATTGCATAACAAACTTCTGTGTGTGCTGGTTTCATGACTTGGACGAACAAGACAAGCACTTGATTTCTATATATATCATAGTCATTTATTATGTCCTTTTTCTTTTATATTTAGTTTTTCGATATGATAAAAAGGGTTGATTCGTGCAGACTGTGTCGAAGAGGCTAGCGGAGAAGAAGGTGGCTAAGTTCGAGAAGAACGTGACAAGGAGAGGATTGGGTTCCGCCTCGTCCAAAAAGGGATTTGAACCAGCCCACATTGTTCTCATTCTCTTCGCTGTCTTGGTCGTCGCCTCCTGTAAGCTTCTCTCTCTCTCTCTCTCTCTCTCTCTCTCTCTCTCTCTCTCTCTCTCTCTCTCTCTCTCTCTCTCTCTCTCTCATATAGGAGGATTCTTTTGTTTCTTGCATTGTACCGGCATTAGGGTAATAGTTAACTGGTGGAAAGAGATAACGACCATTGAACTTGAACTTGTTTAGGTAATCGGAGGGTAAGAGAGAGAATCGATTCTTAGTTGTTTATGTAGTAAGATATAAAAGAAAAGTAAGCAAAAGATACAACTCTTAACTTTCCAAATATAACTATGCCTTCCGTTTCAACTTTTGTATTTTTCGATATTTCTATCGAAATCGGATATAAGGAAAAGGTAGATTCGAAGGTTTTATGACTTTATTCCTTTTTAGTTAATGACTTCCCTATTGCAGATTATATGGCCTATATTGCAGCGCTACCGACAAATATCGTAAAATTAATGTTGTCGTTTTATGCGTGTAACATGTATTAGCATCTCTATTGCTCAATATCAGCCAATTGCTTTAATTTTGCGATTATTTAGTAGCATTTTTTTTGTGTGTGTTTTAATATTTCATCCTTAAACCTACTCATATTTTATGACTTTTCATACATAAATTATTATCAAAGAAATTATTATTAATATTATTATTTTCACTTTTACATTAATATTTTCAACCTAAAAATAGAAAATACGAAAATGACGGACGCATGTGCAAGTGCAGTTAGCTGACATTTTGTTTCAATGGATTTTGCAGTTATCTTCCAGGTTGTCAGGATGGCGATGAGCGATGGAATTCCCGAAGATAATGGAATTGATTCGTAAAAATGAAGATTATGTGTTATGCTAAGAGTTTAATATGATCAACTCTACCTAGATTTCGTAAGCAGTATTTCGATTCCTGTTGAACAAAGTATCGAGGAAATAAAATGGCAGATAATTATTGAAGAAAATAAAAAATTCAACCTTTGTCTTTTATTCTTGCACCACATGTATTTTTCGTCTCTGTTTTTAGCAGTTCGTAGAGTCGCTTCATCCTCTAGTGAGGAAGGAGCCTATTCTCTCGGATTCAACAATTCATAATCGCAACAAGAATAAACAAAGTAATACGAATATGCATACGTCATAAACGCGGGTAATATATTAAACTTCTTTTTTTTTTTTTTAAATAGTGAGAGTGCGATACATCTTATGACATACAAACAAGCTGAACATGTTTCGACAATTGAGAAAAAACAAAATTCTCCAGAAACATCCCAAGGCAAAATCAGAAACGTTTGCGATGCAATTGCAATTGCTTTGCATTCGCAAATTTGCTATCGCCAGACATGCTAATCGGGCGAATCGAACCCTTTGCCGCCTTGGAAGATTGGCAACTCTCTGAACTTTTCGACACCTTGGTTGAACAGTTATTAAACACAATTTCACGAGACCGCATAGCGCTCTTTTTAGACAATCGATCAACATCAGGGGAATAAAAAGTATCAATTTCCTACAAGAAAAAAATAGCATAAAGGTGGGATCTTTGTTAACACGGGATTTTGATAAAAAGCAGTGAACAAATTGATTACGGGTTGTAATAAAGTTGAATGGACAAAGTACTTACCTTGGATTTTGTCTTGGAATAACAAGGTGTTAGGCAAGGATTCAAATCTTTCAGAAACATGTCGTCTGGACTCTGTGGTGTTGTGTAATCCCCCGAGCTATATTCCTGATCGAACTGTTCAACATATGATTCGAGAGGTCAATTCGACACGAATTCAGTATTTGCCCAAGTCGATTTCTTTATATACGATAAGGGTTTTTTACATCAGCTATAATTTGGACATCGAAAACTTGAAAAAGTGCTTACGAGAGAATGAGGCGCATCGTCTTGGTCATATGAAGGTGTCCTCGGAGAACTTATGTCGGAAAATCCTCTTCCAGAATATTTGTCTGCCTTTACCTATTACCAAACAGATAACAAATGCAAACACATATATTATATACTAATCGAGAGTCCGAGACTATGTCATAACGAAGAACATTTTTTCAGACAAATGTTATTGCAGCTGTGTCCAATGGGAAACGGACACTTGTACGTACCTCTTCGAGATCCTCAGCAAGACATTGGAGTTGTCCTGTAAGAGAAGTGACCTGTCTCTGAAGACTCGGAATGAGTTGCTTTGCCTGGTTTAGTTCCGATCCCTGCTTCTCCAATAGATCTTGAAGTTGCAAATTCATCACGTCTGGGAAAAGTACGGCGGTTTTTAGAGACTTTATCTCTTCCCTCTGCTTCAAGCACAAGTCTTTCAATTTCTCAACCTAAAAAGTTTTCGTATTATTGTTAGTAACATCATCGGAGAAAGTACATACGTATCGAACAATCACCTTGAACATGCTTAATAGTTACATTTTAGAATTCTATCGTAAACCAAATCACCGGCATCCAATAAAACAACCGAGCGTAACTCGAACATTCAAGAATGTTGTGTAATGAGCAAATAGATTCCCCTATAGCCTTGTCAATAGTCATTACTCAATCAACGAGCGAAAACCCGAAAGAGGCCTCGTAAATTATCAGTTTCAGTTTATAAAGATCTTGTTCGACTAATGCCACATCAGCCAATTTTCCTCAATTTTGTCGAAACAATCAGACAACCAGCTAATACAATCATTAAAAGAACTGAAATGATTAAAACACAAATCAAAAATCAAGAATTAACCTCAGTGTTTTTCTCCTGAAGCAGAATCTTGAGCTCGGCAATCTGTTCATCCTGCTCTTTGTTCAAACTCAACAGCTCCCTCTCACTCCTCAACACCATAGCCAGAGTCCTGGTATTGCTTTTGACCTCAGTCAACGCCTTCTTCGAGCTCTCGTCTCCCCTTTTTGCCCCTGAGGAGATTCCAGACGAGCCCTTGAAAAGCTTCTTGTGGAGCCCACTTAATCCGGTGCTCTTCTTCGCGTTCTTCTTCAAATCCTCCGCCAGAAAATCAGCGGCGACGACGAATTTGGGCCCCTTTTCGTAATTACTCGCCTTCTTGGTGTCCACGAGTTTCCTGACCATGGAACTGAAATTAATGGTGGTGGTGGCATCTTTCTTCCTGGTGAGAGCGCGTGATGACTCACGCGAGGTGGAGAACTCGGCGGAGGAGGAGGGGTCGGATTTCGTGGAGCTGTTCAGGCTGTTTGTGTAGCGGGTGGCAGTCCTGATTGAAGCCATTGTTGATTGATTGATTCCTTCGGAAATACTTCTTTTTTTTATGCAGATTTATTTTTGGGAAATGGGATTAAGGTTTTTGAATTAGGAATTTTAGAGAGAGAGAGAGAATCTGTGTGTGTGTTGGATTTTGTCTGGAGATGATTGAGAGGCGCTGTCTGAATTCAAAATTTTCGACTGAGAAGAGGCAAATAATATTAAATTAATATTTTTGAGGTTGACAAAAATGGCCTGGTAGTGGCGGGATTTAAATTTTTCAATGGGTTCGGGAATACGACGACGTTTTCATTCTGTGACAGCTGGGATTGAGGAAACTAAAATATCAATTACATAATTTCAATTCGAATGCAAAAAATGTGACCAAAACAAGAACAGGATCTATATGTAATTAATAATAAAACATATCTGATTAATTATCTCGTAATTCAATTTTTAAATTGTTTGTGAAATGGGCGACCGTTCGAAGCCCAATAACTTAGATAGGTCAGTCCAATGGATCTGAAACCCAGGGCCTTTTCATAATTTTCAATTGGACTGAATCAAAATTAGATGTGACTGTAATTTTGTAATTTTCGTGCGGGATTTAACATTTTAGTGGAAGATATCACTTCTAAAATAAATAAATCGATACATTTGTAGAAGCTAATAAAAAAAATTACTTCGTAAATTTCATGACTAGTTTCATACACTAAACGGTCCTTAGTATTATACTTTACTAGCATTTTTTCCCCGTGCGATGCACGGAATATTATTTTAAAAGTGAAAAAAAAATAATCAATTTAATACATAATAAGAAAATATCGTACACTAACATAGTAAAATCTAATAATGTAGTATTATTCATATTTATAGAACATTGGTTTATTTAAATCTTACATATTAAGATTTAAAATCCAAATATATAGATTAAAATTTAAAATAATCGTATTTCTATCTTTATCTCTTAAGATTTGAGATATATTGAGAAAAATCTGAGATCGATATTTGTTAAAAATTATAATTAGAAATTAGTAGAGAAAAAAAATATTAAAAATAAATAATTACATAAAGACCATTAGGGTTTTTTTAGGGTTGCCCAACGTTTCTTTCTTTTATATATAAGATTTAAAATTGTAATAAAATTAATTTTCAACAATTATGCAATTTGTCAAGTCGAACATTAAAATATGGTATGTAACAGCTCTGAACTGCAATGTGATCGGAGTTTCTCGAAAATATAATATAATATATATATATATATATATATATATATGCTTTCCACTAATTATATTCCAACTAATTAAAAATAATAGTAACAAAAAAAAATAAAAAAATAGCAATAATATAATTATTAAAGTTCTCGAAGTGAGTACTTTTTTAATCTTATTGTTATTACATTAATAATGGTCAACGAGGAACTGAGAAAGTCAAATCCCTTTCCCCTCATCTGAATCCCACCAGTCTGGCAGGATTTCCGACCGCCGTCGCTCGCGGCGGAACCTCCTTCAACACAACAGACCCAGCTCCAATCTTCGCGTACTCCCCAACTCTAATATTCCCCAAAACCTTAGCTCCGGCGCCGATCACAACCCCATCTCCAATCTTCGGATGCCGGTCCCCCTCAACCTTCCCCGTCCCGCCCAAAGTCACGCTATGCAGGATCGTGACATCGTTTCCGACAACCGCCGTCTCCCCGATCACAACTCCGGTCGCGTGATCGAACACAATCCCACTCCCGATCTCCGCCGCCGGGTGAATATCCACCGCGAAAACCTCGGAGACGCGGTTCTGGATGAGCAGCGCCAGCACGGTCCGGCCGCGGATCCAGAAATGGTGGGCCAGCCTGTGTGCCTGGCACGCGAGGAAGCCCTTGAAATTCAGTAGGCAGTGTACGTAGCTCACGCAGGCGGGGTCGCGTTCCCTCACCGCCTTGAGATCGTCTCTGATTGCTCGCCGGATTCCGCCGCCGTCTTCTTCGATTAGGGCTTTGCAGAAGACCCCGTAAAGGGCGTCTCTCGATAGACTAGGGTTACACAATTTCAGAGATAAATGGTTGGCCAGCGCGCTTTCCAGTGAAGTGTGGGATAAAATGGCGGAATTGTAGAATTCAGACAAGATGGGTTCTTGGGCTGAATCGAATTCCGCCTCCTGTCGGATTTTCTGCCATGTCTGATCTTCACTGTGTTTTTCTTGATTTTCACAGTGTTTTTCTTGGGTACAAAAAGCATATTGATTTATGGGTCTGCTGCTCGAATTGGATATGCAGAGTTTGATGATCTTGCTCAAAGAGTTAGTTATCTGGGAGCAGCGAGAATCAACTGTAATGTATGTACACTGATTTCTGGAATTATTAATACACGCTGCCATTCTTTCCTAAAAATGCAATCTTTCTGTGAACACTAAATTGGGGTTTTCTTTTTAAATTGAAAATTAGGGTTGCGGAGGAATGGGTATAATTGCTTCGGCTTATATAGAGGTGAGGGGAAGATTAAATAATTCATCCTGAAATTAGTTGTGATTTCTGGGGTACTGCAAAGAACGGATCAATTTAGTGATAAAAATAATGATATCAGTATTGTTTCTTGATTAGTTCTCTGAGTTTGACCAAAAAATCTGTATACGTTGACTTACAGGCCACCAGGAAACTTCTATGAAAAGATGGTTCACTGCTAAACTATTGTATTCAATTGAAACTCAACGTGTAGTTGCATGCAGAGAGATTGGGTCTCTTGATTTTCTTGCATGACAATCAACTTCAAATGAAAGATGACGTAAGCTGTGACGGTTTTGTTTCGTGTGCACAAGAAAGAAAATCTGTTTTGCCTTTGACCAAAGTTCTGCTGTTCTTTGTTGAGCATTATTACCTTCAATTACCGTATTTTGTTCGTATAATTACAACCACCCTTCAATTGTAAATTTTCTATATATATATATAGTTTTGTATTGTCAAATTTAGTGGAATCTTCTAGATTATGTGGAATATTTTCCAGTTTGTACGTGTTTTACCCCATTCGAACTCTATATTTTGAAATAAGATGATCATAAAACGTGTCTCTTGGCTTGTAAATATCAGACTGTGACGCATTTGAAACTATTTTTTTTCATACAAAAGAATACAAACTATAGATCATTTTACGAAATCTAGAAGATTATGTAGAATTTGCGACCATAAGGGTGGACGTCTAAAAATATTCATAGTTGAGGGGTGGTTGCAATTACCCAAATAAAATGGATTTTTTCGTAATTTGACCTTACTTCAGTTGTGACCGTAATTTACCCTTTATGTTTTATACGTGTAACACATTCTTCTTTCTATCTTTTTTCTCTCTGATCTTGGATCAGCTATACATATGTTTACGTCAAGTGCGAATCTTCCACACCTTTCGAAGAAGATTCTCTTGCTGTCGAAACATTGCTATTCGCAGGCACAGAGCTATTCGTCACTGGATTAAGTGTGATTTTCGGCATCGGGTTGCGGTATGAATTTATCGAAGAAATAATATCGGGCTTCGATTCGATATCTCCACCCATCTGTTGTCCACCCAATCTTTCGATGCTCTCATATCTTCCTCCCCACTGAACTTGAGATGTTTTGAGATGAAGACAGAATCTTGCACCTGAACCAGCAGCCTCTCAAGCCACTCTCCTAAAAAAGAACCTCGATTTTCAGACAGGAGACAACAGCTGTCGCACTGTCTACGTGCTCTGCACGAATTTCGATCTCGATATGTGTAATGAAAACTTCTCTTGGCTGTTGATTTAGTTTTGGAATTAGGCCCTCGATTTCCTCGCGGGAGAGTAATAATCGTACTCTTAACCATTTTGTCTCCGTTTTGATCCTCGCATAAATCCTCCACATAGCCGAGGTATTTGGTCCACACAAATACCTGAAATCCAGGTCGTGTGACAACAGTTATATATGTAATATGTATGTATATATAGTCCGGTTATCGAATGCAATTTGAGACTCACTGGTTTGTTCGTTTCGTTCTTGCAAAAAGATGGATAATGCTTTAGCTGCTTATTGCGTACGTAAGCATCGCCCGACCATACAATGTCTGGATTTTGTGCTGCCATTTGTCTCGACACTTGGACCTGAAATTTGAGTCTTTTTGTGAGTAACTTAATACTGAGAATTTCAATTTTGACAAAATTAACAGAAAATAAAATGACCAGTTTATCATTAAATTAAATTAAATCACCTCAACATCCAGGAATCTACGCCTGGAGAAACGAGTCATCGTGGTCATGAGATATTTCGGAAGGGGTGTTGCCTCGATCTTTTGCTCATCTGCATTTAATTTACAAGACGGAAAAGTTAGAATATCTTCAGCATTAAGTTTAGAAAAAAATCGAAATGAGATGAGCGCGTTATGTCATCTTCACAAAAACAAATCTCGGAGATAACTGGATCTACAGATCCCGGACCGATATCATATCGTAAGTGCCACAAAACAGAGAATATAAATCTTATCAATCATACCGCGAACGAACTCCGAAATCACTCACACACTGAATGCAAAATCAAGAATCGAAAATCAGGAAACCTATCAACCATATCCCCATTTTCACCACATTTGAAAAAAAAAGTAGGCTGAATTCACCGATCATATCATTACAAAATTGCAGAATGAAAAAGGAAAGGAGAATAGTTTAACAAAATTGTTACTTTGAACTCGATACAAAAACGAGGCGATGATTCCAAAGCTCGAGAAGAGGAAGGTTTACTAAGAATGCAGGGGTGAAAATTACAATGCGAACTCGCCCCTTTTTATAGCACGGAACATTAGACGCGTGCTGCCTCAGCACAGACACGTGCACATTTCCGGTGCGTTTTCGGATAAGCACGTCTTTAATGCTTTTGACCCATTGCAACGACCTACAGATTCTCATAATAAATTTCATAAAAGAAACGCAAATTCGTATCTCGAGAATTAATAGCCTAGATATTGCAAATCTTATTGTAAGTGTAAATCTCTTTAAGAATTGTGTTTGTTCAAGAAATATCATGAAAAACGTATCAAAATCATGGACGTTTTTGTCTTGACGTCGTGCTTAAGACAATACCAATTTAGTATACCGTGCTATAGAAACGAGTTCTTATTTGAGTCATAGTGACATCGCCATTCTTGGCAAAACTCCTCTTCGCGAGCTTTGGAATGTCACTTCAACAATGCACCACGTTCTTAAGTAAATTAAATGAAAAAAACGAGATTAAATTACATATATATAGCCAGACAACAAATCGCCACAAGAGAGACTACATATGAGAAACCGAAAAACCTATAGTATATATCTCAATTGAGACATTAGACAAAACTTAACAAAAAAGAGCAAAAGGGAACGACCTTTAGACTCGTGAACTTAACAAAACGAGCGTGTTTTAGTTATATAGTTAGACAGGGTTTCGCTTGTTTTAACATACAATTGCTATCGAAGACCAGCATTCAGAGACATGAAACAGCTGATGAAACAAATACACGTGACCCTATGAAGGGTATGTGATGCGAGAATTCCAAGAATGACGAAGGAGAAAGAAAACACAACAAGCATGAAGATAAACGAGAGAGAGAGAGAGAGAGAGAGAGAGAGAGAGAGAGTAATGGTGGGCATGGGCAGAAGAAACCAAGTGTCACTGTAAGAATTTTGTGCTAAGTTTAGATTTTTTTCCCTCTTTTACAATCGAATTACTATTAGGCTTTGTATAGTGACACATTGGCACGAGTGAGATTATTTTTCAATTAAATTAAAATTTACTAACTTTTTGTTGACAATTTAATTCTTTAATTATATAAAAAACCAACTTTTCATATGAGGAAACTAATAGTAAATTTGTGTGAGCCGGTACTAAATGAATTTCCCATAACATAGACTCATTAACTTTTATCCCATTTTTTATATTTTAGGGATAATAAATATTTTTTTCCCTTTTTTCATTCATCCCTATAAAAAATAATTGCAAGATAATAACTCATTAACTCTATAATTACAGCTATGCCCAAAAAATTATCGAATCAAGCAACTATCAAATTCAAATTATCACAAAAATTGAAACACTAATTTGATGTGAACAGAATGAAAGGGTAAGTGACAAACGGTCAAAGTTTCTAATCTAAGTAAAAGCGCGTTTTTGTATGCTCCAATTGTTTCTTTTCTTTCTATTTTCTTTTAATGGGTGTAAACAACGCTTTTACAAAGTCCTAACACGTTTATAAGTATCCATTGTTTATTAAAAAAACAGCCCACCAAATAACAACACTATAGCCACCACCTTATAATTTAATTAAACATTTCATTAATTTCACAATAACCAAATACAAAACTACTATGAACTTTTTCTCTCTTTCCCTCCCTTTTTTTCCCTTGTATGTATTTCTGGACCAACTAAATATACATACATAATTCTTTTTTGTTTTTTTTGTAATAATAAATAAAAAATGGCCATTAATCTAGTGTTTTTTCTTCCCATCTGATTGGCCTATGCTACCTTTACTAGCAGCATTACCTGAACTTTTAACGGTCCAGTCTTCCTTCTCCTTAACTAGGAGCAGTTCTTTCAAGTGAGAATCTTCCCCACTTTTCGAGGAAGATTCTCTTGCTGCCGGAACATTGCTATTCCCGGGCACAGAGGTGCCTGGCAGTGGATTCAGCGTTACTTTGGGCATCGGATTGCGGTATGAATTTATCAATGAAATAATATTGGGCTTCGATTCGATATCAACCCATTTGTCATCTACCCAATCTCTCGATGCCCTTATGTGCTTCCTTTCCACCGTCGCAAATTTATCCTCACCTGCCACAAGTGATTCATATTATGAACAATCAACATAAATCGACATGAATCGATCGTATGCATTATTTACTTATTGATTATTATATATATAAAATATTTAGGAGTACAATTGTGGTCGTACCGGGAAAATAAACCTGAAGGTTGTTCGGTGCATCCATGTCGCAACCAATTAGAAAACCTTCCCACCAACCGTCTGACCACCATGAGTCAACTGCAGCACCGACCCTAAAAATTTTGTCCGAACAATATTCTGAATTAGGCCAAGGCCTCACCGTGAGGCGGCCTCCACATCTCACACCAAATTTATCCGGAGCTGCCATTCTTGCTGCCGGGACCCACTCCTACAAAATTCACATTTATGAAGTTCAAGATTATGTTTTTATATATACCATATATGTGCGTATGTGTGTATGTATATACCTCAAGTTTTGCAGATCCATCACAGTCGTTTATGTCGCAATACTGAACTTTGAGACGTCTTTGAGATGAATTGAGAACCTTACACCTGAACCAACAGCCACGCATGCCGCTGTCTTGACAAAGAACCTCGATATACTCTGCACCACCATCGGTTATGGCCATAGGATGTTGCTGATGTGGAGGTGTTGCCTCGATCCTCTGTTGATCTGGCACAAAATAAATTAGCAGAAAGAAGATTTTAGTCAAATGAGTAGATCTCGAATGCAACATTAAAAGTGAAACATTATAATGAATGCTCTTATATCAGCAAAATGAAATTTTAGGAATTATGAGATTATGCCTCGACACCGACTTTATTTTTTCAGTCGAAGATTTTACCCTTATTTTAGCAATTAATTATTTACAGAAAAGATGCGACCGTCAATTTACAGATCTCCGAAAGAGCGAAAGTAGTTCTTCAAACGAGACTGATGAATGCTTATTTACAAGCTCGATCGTCAATCATACCGTAAATGAACTAGGAATTGAATCAAATGATGAATGCAAATTCAAGAATAAATTGGTCGAAAACTCAAATAGAACAATCATGTTCGGTTTTCGCCACACAAGAGGCTGAGTTCATCATTTATTTCGTCTAAAAAATAAAATAAAACAGAATTCAAATGAGATATATGAAAAATATTTTACTTGTATGACTTAACAAGAAGCTATTATATAAACATAACTCTCGACTGTAAAAAGTTCGAGGCATTTACAATTTTACCTTGAACTCGATAACGAGTGAGGCGGAGATTCCAAAGCTCGAGAAGAGGAGGTTTTGCAAAGAATGCAAGTATGAAAAATGACACACACAAGAACTCATTTTTATAGCACAAAATACTAAATTGTGCTACCTCATTTCGACGTCAACACAAAACACGTGTTTGTTTTCAATACGATTCAAGATAAGCACGTATTTAAATTTCTTTTCCTCTTTTTGTTTTTGCAACAACTTGCAGATTTCCGCAATTAATTTAAAAAAAAAAACATGGATTCGTATCTGAACATTAAATATCCTAGTATAATCCAAGCCGAGGTCGATGAAGCCTGTTATGGATAAATAAGTCTTGGAAGAGATTCATAGAATCCAATCGACATTTCAAAATTAGGAGCGCGCGAAAGAATTGACGTGAGACAGGAAATAACTAATCCTATGCATGCATGTGAACGACGTTGTTAGGGAATATGCAAAATTCTCATATAAGAACTGAAATCATACATGAATACACTATAATTTCAGATAAATAAAGAAGCATTTAAAATTCTATAGGAGCACAACGTACTAGAATTAGCGAATAGCGAGCCTCCTCCCGAGGTTATTGAAATGAGAAATTCGACGACGTATTTGCGAGCTTTCCATGCCGTTCTAGCATTGACTGTTGCCGTTGACCCAAAGACTCGCAGGTATTCCTCTGTGACTGTGTAGAACATGTGGTTTAAACTTCTTTCAATTCCCACCACAGCAAGTAGAGAATTTGCAGTTGAGTCCCTTAAGATATAGTGAATTACGCGGCTTCCCTTTTCAGGACAAATAACACGCTCTTCCCACCCCCTCTGCACTTGATTGTTCGACATCCTGATCAAGCAGAACATAAGAGAATTTATAAGCGTTGAGATAAAAAAATGCATTTTAACAACGAGACAACCCCTTTTTGGTGGAATAATCGATTCAAATTTCGACTTTTTAGATATATATCAAGAAATAAGTAAATTGATAAACAAAACATGCATTTAGCCATTTGCCTTTTGCATGAAATAAGCTAAGTAATTCCATAGTCTTCAAGAAACATAGAGTTTTATAAGTGATTTCACCACAGTAGGTCAACCCCTTTCATGCAGTCAGCAAATCAAGATTTGATTTCCAGACCACATATATATACTAAAATTGATAAATAAAAAATCCCCAAAATTCTAAGGAAATTCGAGTTTCTGCTTAAGATTAAATCAACAACCAAAAAAAAAAGTAAAAATCGTATATTTGTCAGAAAATGAAAATGGGTTTTGCTTGAGACGACTAGCACTCACAAACAGGAAACAACTGATCAAAATAAACACACACGAACCAACCTTAAAGGGTATGATGCGAGAATTCCAAGAATGGTCGACGAAGCAAAGAGAAAGAGAACACAAGAATGAAAATAAACACAGAGGAATAATTTGAACTGGCCTTAAAAAGAAAAGAAAAACAGGTGGGATTGAGTTAAGGGCATAGAAATGGACAAAAAGGTGAGTAGGATGTTTGGTGACAACTTTTGGCGGTTAAGGGTTAAATATATGACAGTGGTGAAGAATGAGTAACGGCTAAAGAAGAGACTCAATAAATATGAGAGAGAGAGATGGTATTAATGGTGGGCATAGGCAGAAAAGGCAGGTCTTTTGATGTTCCTTCTGTTACATCGGCTGCTGATGCTTCTTCTCCTCCATTTTCTTTATTTTTTGTTTTTTAATAATATAATAAAATAAAAGTGTCTGAAATAACATTTAATAAAATAAAAATAAATAATAATAATAATAATAATATGATTTAATTCGGTACAATGATTTTTTTTTCAAACAATTGTTGAGTAAATCTCTGACTGACCAATAGATATTACGAGTTATTGTAATTAACTCATAATTTGATTATAAGAAAAGTGGGTTTAACACAAAATCATGTCTCAATTACGAGGACACGCACACATTTGGTAATGAAAATTTCTTCTCGTCCCATAAAATACTATAGATTGCCTAATTATTACTTATTGCATTTAATCCTCGACAGATTTATTAGCATTTTAGTTTATTTCAATTCATTGACTTGACTTATATTCTACAATTATTAGATTATTATTTTTTTTTCTAATTTGTTAATATGTGTTTATTACTATCAAAATATTAGAGGCCTAAATTACAAGAAAATCATGGGCCTATTAGGAGGCCCATTTATTGTAATATTAAAAGCAATATTTAAATGGGCTTATGACAGTGTACTAATAGATATATGCAATCTACAGGCCCATTTCAGCTGTATTTTTTTTTCATTTTTTATTTATTTTTAATTTCAGCTGTAGATAAGGCAAGAAAATCAAAATTCCACCACCACCACCACTCATCTAAATTTCAAAATACAGACATTCAAACAATCTATCTTGTTTCTCCCAACGAAGACGATGATGAACACACTCAGGGTTCATCTTCAATTCAATCACGCAAATCTCATAAAATCCGCCATTAACACAACCTCCAAATCCAAGCTCACCTCCCCCTTTTCAGCGTCATCCAACAACGTTGTCAAATCAAAACCCACAACCCATCATGTAGAAAGATCCCTCGAGCTAAAACCCACACCCCCACTTCCCAAGATCAGACTTTTAGGCGGAGAATCGCCGCCGCTTACTACAACCTCAAAAACAAGAATGGTGATTCTGGGAGCAGCGTCTTTAGGGGTGGCGCTCTTCGTAATGGGTTTCGACGACCACCAAAAGGCGTTGGCTTTTCTACCAGAAGGTCCGTTAATGGAGGATTTCTGGGATAATATGAGGAGGTACGCGCTGTACGCGCTGACAGTGAGCACCGGGGCGATATGGGTTCTTGTGGAGCCGATAGTTGAGTTGTTGAAGAACCCCATCTCTGCTGTTCTTATTATTGTTATTCTTGGCGGCGGGTTTTTCCTCGTTACCCAAGTTGTCACTGCTATGATTGGCTTGTCTGATTTCTCTTATGATTATAACTATTAATTAGACAGATGATTATCTTCTTGTCTTTTTTTTTTTTTCATTTTGCTTGTAGCAAAGTTATATGCATATTGATAATATATATCTGAGATTCTGAATAACACTTGAAAAAGAAGTTTTATTGGCATAGTTTGTATTTAATTAGTAATTACACATGACAACATAGAACATGTGTTTGCATAGTGGAAAGTAATGGTTGCTCCGGTATTGAAGTCGGGGTTGTTGGAGGCGATCGTTGTAAGAGATGTGATGGAAAACGGTGGGGAAGATTAGCACGGTTGAGCTGAACGTTTGCAGGTCATGTGGATGTTCGAATAAGTGCAACTTTGATCCCTGTCGGACAGACGTTCTCGATTTTGACTGTGTATTGTGGAATCCCGTTATGCATAGGCTCGATTTGATGTTGATCTACCAGAATGTTGTCCTTCGAACACGCCCCCATCTTCGATCGCTGTCCGTCGACTTCTTCTACTTGGAGGAATGAAAATGAAAAAGAATATTGGAGAGAAGTGTGATGATGTTCTCTGTTTGGTTACAATGATTTTGGTAATTCCTATTTTGATTTAAAACCAACTCCCCCCTCTCATCTAATTGATTGGGATTATGGGTAGAAATTGGACGGATCTAATCAAAATAATCATTTTTGGAGGAAAAGCTAAATAAAATTAAATAAAACAATTTCTCTTGATTCTTGAATTTTACTTAGACTTGAAAATTGAACTTATCGAATTCAAATTACATTTTTGTAAATATACATAAATTGGATACCGAATTTTTTGCAATTGGAATGAAAATTCTAAAGGTGGAAATTTTCGGATCATAATCGAGGAATTTTGAAATTCTATATTTTATTTACTTGTAGTTGCAAATATATTTTTGGTTGAATTTTTTTTTTTCCAATATTGTTCCAAATTTGAAAATATTGAGATTGAACCAAATTCGGAAATTTTGTTCCAATTTTCATCCCGTGTATGATTAATTACTGGCCTTTATATAATGAGCGGAAAGATTCCCCTCCCTCTCCCCCAATCTAAACTCTAAACTAAAACCCTCGTTTCTAAAACCCTGATCGTAAGATGGTGCTCGCGCAACTCGGCGGCAGAATCTCCGGCGCCATCCGGCAGATGAGCAATGCCACCGTCATCGACAAGAAGGTACTGAACGACTGCCTGAACGAGATTACCCACGCGCTTCTTCAAGCCGACGTTCAATTCTCCATCGTTTCCGATCTCCACACCAACATCAAGCGAATCGTCGATTTCGACGCCCTCGCCGCCGGCCACGACAAGCGCAAAATCATCTCAAAGGCTATTTTCAACGAGCTATGCCGGATATTGAATCCAGGGAAGAAGCCTCCGTTCACCCCTAAAAGGGGGAAAACCAGCGTCGTCATGTTTGTCGGTTTGCAAGGGTCTGGCAAAACGACGACGTGTGCCAAATACGCACACTTCCACCGCAGCAAGGGCTGGAAGCCCGCCCTGGTGTGCGCCGACACATTCAGAGCCGGCGCTTTCGATCAGCTGAAGCAGAACGCCGTTAAAGCTAAGATCCCCTTCTGCGGCAGCTACACGGAGTCAGATCCAGTCACAATCGCCGCGCAAGGAGTCGAAAGGTTTAAGAAGGAGAATTCCGACCTCATAATTGTCGACACGAGCGGGCGCCACAGGCAAGAGGCGGCTCTCTTCGAGGAGATGCGCCAACTCGCTGAAGCAACGAAACCGGATCTGGTTGTGTTCGTCATGGACGGCAGCATCGGTCAAGCCGCCTTTGACCAAGCCGAAGCTTTCAAGCAGAGCATCGATGTCGGAGCCGTAATAGTGACCAAACTGGACGGCCATGCAAAGGGAGGCGGCGCTCTCAGCGCAGTTGCCGCCACGAAAAGTCCGGTCTTATTTATCGGAACCGGCGAACACGTGCATGAGTTCCAAGTGTTCGACGCGGAGCCGTTTGTTAAGCGTCTCCTAGGCATGGGTGCCGATTTGTCCGGGTTCATGGACAACATTCATCAAGCTGTTTCGAGTATGGATCAAGTACAGAAGCCGCCCGAGCTTCTTTCCGAAAGCGGCAACTTTACTCTGAGGAATATGTACGAGCAATTCCAACTTATGCTTAACATGGGTCCGATTGGTCACGCAATTCCCGGATTCGACCAAGAATTGATGATGCCGAAAGGCGGAAGTGGGAAGATGAAACGATACATGATAATGATGGACTCGATGACGAAGAAAGAGTTGGATAGTCCAAACGGGAGTTTGATGAATAACGAATCTAGGATATTGCGTGTGGCTAAAGGGTCGGGTCACTCGATCGAGGCCGTGAAGGAAATGTTGGAAGCGTACAAGCGGCAGGCGAAGATTTGGAGCAAGACCCTAAAGAAAGGGTCGAAAAATAATAAGATGATGAATGTAGAACAGATGAGTAAGGTGATTCCGGATGAGATGCTGAAGCAGATTGGTGGAAAGGGTGCTTTGGAAAGCTTCATCAAGAAAATGGGTTCTGGTAAAGATATCATGGCTACATTTAATAAGTAGATACATATTATTGATAGACAAATTACATAATGTTAATATTAGTTAAATGAGTTAGATTGAGGAGTTTTATTTTTATTTTATGGTTATTATTTAAAGTAAAAAACGAGTTTTATTGGGAAAAAAAATATTTGTGGAGTTTATGCAGTTGATTAATTGATAATACATATATGATTTTATTTTATTTTTTTTTATTTGAAAATTGGGAATAAATAGTTGATTCTAATTTCGTTCAAAAAAAAGTTGAAAAGAAAATTGGAGAAGTCATTAATTGGAAATTGGAACGAGAAAACTACAAGTAGAATCATCGAAATTCAGAAATTCAACTTTTTTATCACTTATAATTTTTTTTGATCAAAATGAAGTTGATTTTATAAATGGAATTTCGTGAATAAATGGAAATTTTGAAATTATTTTTCAAAAACTAAAATCGAATCAAAAATTAAAATATTAATGCATTCTTTGTAGATAAATGAAATTATTTGGAATTGATTCCTTACGACACTCTAAAATAATAAAATATTATTAGTGTAAAAAGCATTGTGGAATCAGAGCTTCTCTCTCAAATCATCTAATTAAAAGACGCTTTTAAAAATCCTCTTTAATTAGTTCCTTACTTAAGTCACTGTTTGTTAGTAGCGAATACTAGAAACTTCTGAACACGCTTTTGTTCTTGGAAATGCACCACCATCTTTCAACCCGACCCTGTCAAAAAAGGGCAGTAAATTAACCCGACCCGAATCGTGTACCCGGTAAATCACAAATGTTCCTTCCATCGTCTCTATTTAGACATCAACTAAAGCACATTCTTGCCATACGCATGCTACATTGTTTTTTTCTTTCCAATAATTTAAGGTTTGAAGAAAAACGTGTAATGAAAGATCTTGTCACTATTTACAAGATTGGAACTTCATTGTACGATCTCGTTATCTTCTCTGATAACAGCTACAGTTTTATATGTAATAAACGAAGATTTCTCACAATACGTTTGTGGGCGAAAGAGTAATAATATCCATACCTACTTCGTCGACAGCTGGCATCTCTCTCACTTGACCAACAAGTCTCGTAAGCTCTTCCGTAAGTTCTCTACGAACAAAATCAGATCTCTCTTTAGTCAGCGCTGCTTCAGAAAACAGAGTACCCGTGAGCAAATTAAATTCCCGATACCATTCGTCGCTATTTTTTAGGTTACTCTGTTCACCGTAACGTAAAACCGACGAGCTCTCTTCTTGACGCCACCGGTTCAAAAGATATTTGCTCGGGATTTGAAAATAGTTCTTGAGTAAAAGTACTCGAAGGGCATGCCTGCATAAAATTCCAGTCGACTCGAATGCCTTACACGAGCAGTGAATTTGCTCATCTTCTGGTACCCATATTACAAGATGCTCTCCGTCGACTTTCTTGAAATGACGAACGATGTGGGACCCGTCGGACATTTCCGATGCAGCATATTCCATGGCTAAGACCATTTCTTGCTGTACTGCATTGAATGCGAACGGTGTAAGAATACTACGAGCGTGCTCTTCGATAGGTAAGCACGTCTTGAGATGCATAAACTGTGCCTCTTCGTGTGACTGCATTTTACAATGCGATACTAATCCCATCTACAAAAAGTCAACGCAGGAAATCAAGAAAATATGGTTAAATGTTTTAAAAACTGCTTAAACCGGATAATTGAAACTGCTTAACATACCTGCTCGAGGAAGCCACGCAAACATGTCTGAGTTTCGATTACTCCTTTCAAAAATACGTCTACGGATTTCCAATACGATGTGGAATCCATTCGTGCGAGAAAGCAACCTCTCGTGTAAGGTAAAGCCCAACACATGCGAAGTGAGAAGAGCAGAGCGATGTGCTTATCTGAATTAATTCCAAAGTGGGAAACCATATTATTCCACCGAAATTCAAATTCATCGGTACCTTTTAAACGGCATAACTCTTCAAACTCGTATTTGAACTCGGGGAATCTTGGGCCAAGTGGAAGAGAAAACCAGGTCGATATTCTAGGCATCATATTGTATAAGGAAATAAAATGCTTCGTGTTTGGCAGTTCACTTGTTATGGCTTCTCTTAGACCAGGATCGATATCGGTGATTATTGTTTGAGGGCATCTTCCTTTCATAAACCGAAGAAAAGCCTAAGGAGCAAAATAAAAAAAGTAAAAACAATTTATTCGCACGTAAAATAAGAATGACAAACAACAAGAAAAATTAAATGTAAACCTGTAAAGCCCAAGCAAATGATCGCGGGTTTTCATCCTGCAATAAAGCACAACCGAAGAAGAGGATTTTCCCATGGTTGTTGATTCCAAGCCACGCACCAAAACTCAGACCGTAATTCATCGAACGATAAGTCGAGTCAAAATAAACGACATCGCCAAACATGTCATAGGCATGAACCGAATCTCCACAAGACCAAGCTACATTCTCAACTCTATCGTTTTCGTCGAAAGCAACATCGTATACAAAGTACGGATCAGCTTCTTTACTCGTCCTGCATGCCTCAAGAAGATCGACCGTGTCGATTTCTCTTCTCTCTGCCAATAAAGCATCACTCTCTTGAACGATTCTCTTGCGGGTTTGGATAAAATTTCTGACATCTCTTTCCAAGAACGAGAGATGCCCACCTTGAATTCCCTTCTCCAGCTCGAGCACCTTCACTATACGGTGAATTGGAAAACCAGCTTTCGAAAGCAGAAGAATCCGTTCTTGATCCGCCTCGTGAATTTTACGATAAGCTGGTAGCAAACGAACTTGGTCGTCCTCTAAAAGCTCGTGATTGTGCACATTACTGAACTGCACAACGTACCACTGCGAAACACCGTCTACAATCTCCTTCGACAAGTACATTTTCGAATCGCACCCGCATCTAACGGATTTCCTTTCCCGTTGATGCTCTCCTATTTGTTTCTTTCTTGCAGGCGCAAACCCTGATCTATAGCAAACAAAATCCCTCTTGTAAACGCCCAATTGCGGACTCAGCCTCGATCTCTCCTTCCTAATCGAGAACCCATTTTTTCTAGCGAAATTTCCGTAGTAGTCAAATGCTTCATCGTCGCTCTTAAACACCATTCCCACGTACGGGGAAATCATCGTTTCTGTTGGGAATGAATCATTCTTGATCAATCGGGATCCGACATTCGTCTCGTTCGTGTCTCCCTCATACGTCACAAAGCATTTCCAATCCCCACATGGGCACTGCTGCCTTTTAATCCAGACAGTCTTTGACTGTACAGACACCATAGCTGATTAAGCCCACTTGACGAAACTCACACAGAATCTAATTCCATCAAAATAGCATATAAAATATTTCCATAAATCATCAATGATCTCTGTAAAGACGTAAATCTTCACAGAAATGATACCAAAGGTTCAATCTCTTTCGTACCCATTTGGCATAGTTTCGTAATTCTGCACGCAGATATCAGTTTGCTCAATTTATTCTGCAACTGCAACCCTAAAAGCAGCACTACATGAACTTGAAGCTTCCAGCAGACAATTCAATGGGGGCTTGACTATTCAATTGTGAGTAATTGAATGGGTTCGTCAGCAATTTTAACGCAATCGAATTTTCTGAAGAAAACAAAAATTACAAATTCGAATGTCGGAACTGAACAAGGGTTAAGAAAATTGGCGTACCATAAACAAACAAGCATCAAGAATTTAACATCAATCGTTTAATTTTTCTTACTTCTCCCGCAGTTAGCGCCCTTGTTCTTGAGTGGGTAGACTGAAATTTTTCGTTCATCAAATGTTTTTGGGTGGCTTTCGTGGGCCGGGCCGGGCTTGTTGTCTTCTTCGGTCCATGAAGTTATTAATTCCTGCTTATCAAAATTATGAAGCTAATTTAAATTAGATTTGATTAGGTTTCTAATAATTAAATAATTATTTTAATTAGTAAGATTTCATGCATAATATTATTTTTTTCGTCGAAAATTTTTCCCCCTGATTTTGCTATTTCCGGTGCCTTAATTTCTAATTATAGCTCATACTTTTCGTGATTTCTCTTACAAAAAAAGCACAACTCCCGATGCGGTGTTAATCTTATACTATTCCAATATTGCAGATCTCTGAGGTATGACAATTTCTCCCCATGCAAGAATACCATTTTCTTATCTTGGTTTCTATTTCTCGTTTTTCCGATTATTCATTTTTGTTTTCGCAATTTTGAGTTTTGGGAAAGATAAAGCCATCTTCATGAATGTATGCATAATTTCCATTCTTGTGTTGCCGCTATATTGAATCGTATATATATGCTTTAACGAAAATCATGATGACTTAATATTTCCCAATCCTGAATTCTGGTAACTTTTTTCCTGAAGGGATTTGATCCCTTAATTGAAGTATCCATCCAGCATCAATTGATTCCCCTGGTGACGTGGTGTCGAAAAGAAATCAAGATTCGCCGTTTAGTGATATTTTAGTACTTTCACTTCTGTGAAAGAAAAATCCGGGTTGTGCCCTGAAAATCTGCATGCAATGGCCAAGGGTGATGCTGAAGATCCATTACTAGAACAGCCCTCGGATTCGTCACATCTTCCAAGTACTCGACAAAATGCCTTAACGAAAAGAAGGTACCGCCGGAGCAAGACTGTTCCCGAGAAAATCTGTTATCCGGAGCAGAACTCTCCCGCGTCACTCCAGCACCGCGAATCGATTTTCGAAAATACGCTCGATTTCAAGCTAGTGCTCCTGCTCTTGTCTGCGTATGTAGGTGTGGGAGCCCTTTGCTTCTTTCTCGTCAGGTACCAAATGAAGGGCATCAAGACAAACGGAGTAATCGACGCCGTTTATTTCTGCATCGTCACTATGACAACTGTCGGGTATGGAGACCTCGTACCCGACAGCACGGCGGCAAAATCTCTTGCGTGCGTTTTCGTGTTCATAGGCATGGCTCTCGTCGGGCTTCTCCTGAGCAAAGCGGCAGATACTATAGTTGAAAATCAAGAAATCCTATTGGTTAAGGCCATGCACATGCGCGAGAAGTGTAGCCCCGTTGATATACTTAGAGAAGCGGAGACGAATAGGGTTAAGTACAAGTTTTTCACTGTCCTCGTTGCGCTTGTGATGCTCGTAATTGTTGGAACGGTTTTCTTGTATTGGAAAGAGGGATTGGAGTTTTTTGATGCCTTCTACTGCGTTTGTGCCACTATCACTACTCTTGGCTACGGTGATAAGAGCTTCTCGACTTCCGGGGGTCGTGTTTTTGCTGCTTTCTGGATATTGATAAGCACTATTTGTTTGGCTCAATTCTTTTACTCCTTAGCTGAATTGTACACCGAGAGACGAAGGAAATCGCTGGTGAATTGGGTTCTTACGAGGAAGTTTACCGTTTCGGATCTCGAGGCAGCAGATTTCGATAATGATAAAGTTGTTAGGCAAGTTAAATTACTTGTTCTTGAACCTTAATTCCTTCTTTTTTTTTTTTTGCTTACAAACTCACACATTGTTTTTAATTTTGCGTACAGCGCCGCAGAATTTATCGTTTATAAACTGAAAGAAATGGGGAAAATAAGCGAGGAAGACATCGCCATGGTGATGGAGGGGTTCAAGATTCTCGACACTGATCAATCAGGAACGCTAACAAAAGCCGATCTAATGAATCACGGTACATCCGATGCTTAAGAAGGCGAAAGATTCTTCGATTTTTTATCACAAATAGGTTGCTGCATGCAGTTCTTTGAAGTCGTGTATACGGTCAGTCTTTCTTACCGGTATAGTTTTTATATAGTCGACTAGATATTTCAGTAGTTTCTTCGAGACGGTTTAACGAAGTTGTTGTCCTAGAACGAGAATAAAACAACAGACCGAACTCGTGTACAATTACTATGACACGGATACAAACTTAGATATAGATTATACAGATTGGGCTGTTACATATGAATGATCAATAATTGTGCTGTGTCATTAGGTAAATTATTGTAACAACAGAAAATTATTGTAACAATTCCACTAAAGGAAGCAGCTGACAAGAATGTGTACTAACCATTAGGTGTAAAAAGAGAATTATTCTTAATTATTTTCAAGACAGAATTTTATTTTAGGTCCACTAACCTTTGAATTTTTTTTCCAGATTCTAAATGATGATCTGATACTCCTTTAGTTACAGCTAAATGGCATTTCATGTAATAACAACCACTTCTTTTGTTTGTTTGTGAATTTACCAACTGGACCCCAATTCAAGTCACTATCAAGTTTCAGGGGACATGTTTAGTGGAGATTCCATTAAGGAGTGATTAATTGTTCAAGAAACATCATTAATTAATCTCAATAAGATAATTAGTATCTTCTTTGAAACATTGCTATTTATTCTGTATATATATAAATATATTTCAAAGTGATTATTATACATATTGTTGTTGGTAGAAATGAATTCTTCCCTTTGTCGCCTCACCTAAACATTGCCTGTATTTACTTAAATATTGCCATATGGAAAGTCTAATCCACCTGCCCAAGAACTTCATTTTTTTTTCATTTTTTTTTTTAATTTATCTTTTGTGTCCAAATATACTTTCAAGCAAAGACCATTTCGGCGTAAATCCAAGTTTTTTTTTCTTTTTTTAATACTTTGAAGTCACTTCATTCAAAATCGAAACCCTTTTGGAGTTAAGGTTTTGATCCATAATATGTATCGTTTTCGCAGTTGTGGTTCGAAATGACGTACAAATAAATGACTTGCTACTAAGGATAATTAATCGAGAACTGAGAGGATTTATCGCTTAAGCTACTCATTAAGTCCTAAACAAGTGTTTCCCATTAGCATTAGCTGATCATGACACATTCATTAATCTCTTATCTTATCCTTAACCATTATGTTTTAGGATGACCATTTTTCGAAGCTTGCATAAAAAGGTTCTCGTAAACGACAATTCCAGTCATTTTGGTTGGAAACTTTCTTTTTCGTTTAAATTTTTCGTGCTGTCATCTGCAATAACAGAGGAGGTTCCAAATGTGGATTTTGTCATATATTTTTATCTGATTTAGATGTATTATTATTACTATCTGCTTATAATAGTTGTTAGTGTTAGTTAAGTTTCATTTAATTTCAAAGAGTTTAATCATGACCATTAGGAAAATTTAATTCATTGTCACAATTGTGTTTTGTAAGCATCACCCGGAAGGCAAAGAAAAGATTCATTTTTTTTGGTACAATTTTTTTTTTTTGGCCAAAAAAATAAACTTTATTGCAATTTAAGGACGAGGGGCCTCAAAAAAAGATGAAATCATCTTGCTCTTCAAGTTCTTGAAATTAAAAAAAAAAAAAAAAAAAGACACCTTTTACTGTGTGTGTTTGTTAATTGTGAAACGGTTGGAGATATGAAAGGAGGAAAAGCAGGATAACGGGCAGCCGGCTGGGCCAGCCGGCTTCTGAATGTTGCTTTCGAGAGCTTGCTTAAGAAAATGGGGAAAAAAAAAAAAAAAAAAAAGCATCACAATCCCCTCTCTTTGCGGTCAATTCCTTACAAGAATGGACTCTCAAATTCCTGGAATTATTATTGTTTATTGTCTCTCTCTCCTACACAAATACACACATACTAAACCCCATAACAACTCCCCTGCTTTCTTTATTTAAAACCCCCTCTCTCAGTTGTGTTTGTTATTCCTTGGCAAAAGTCATTTGTTTGTTGCAATAGTATAACTAATGATGACAAGCAGCAAAAGAGAAACTCCCGGTAAAATGTATGCCGTCGAAGAAGATGTCTCTCTTCTTTCTCATTCGGACCCTTTTGTCTTGGAGCTCAACAGATTGCAGAATCAACTCAAAGGTTCGTCGTTTATTTAGTTTTTTCGAATAAAGCGTTGCTTGATCGTCGTAGACTGATGATGAACGTATCCGTTGGTTTAAAAAGAGACAATAGATTAAAAAGAGAATCTTTGTTTTGTTGTTGTTTTAGAGGGGGAGAGGGAACTTCTGAAGGCTCAAACCGAAATTCGGGCATTGAGGGCAACTGAAGTCCTCAAGGATAAAGCTGTCGAAGAGGTATTCCATATCGGTTTTGATTAAATTTTTATATGCTCTGGTTTTATATTAGCATTATATATACATATATGTGTGTGTGTGTGTGTGTGTGTGTGTGTGTGTGTGTGTGTGTGTGTGTGTGTGTGTGTGTGTGTGTGTGTGAATTTCTGACAAGGAAGTTCTGTTATTTATTTCTTTCAGCTTGGAAGTGAAGTTGAAAGGTTGGAAGAGAAGCTAAGATGCAGCGAAACCTACCTCGAACAAAAGGTGCAAATGGATTTTCCGTTGCACGGTTTTTTTCATTTTATTTCCCTTTTTGTTTTACGATCGACATTCAACTTTTTTCGGTTCTGATTGATGCAGAATCTTGACATCAAGAAACTCACAGACGAGAAGAAGGAAGCATTGGCTGCACAATATGCAGCTGAATTGACTCTGAGAAGGGTATATGCCGATCAAAAAGATGACGATTATGTTCCCATTGAACTAATCATTGCTCCTCTAGAGGCAGAACTTAGGATGCGTAAGAACGAGGTAATCACAAATGTCTGAAAGAAAAGTGTTTCTTGTCTAATGCCTCCTATATATTCAAAAAAACCTCCCCGTTTTCTTGGACGAATGTTAGGTTGCAGCACTACAAGAGGATAAAAGAGCGCTCGAACGTCTTACAAAATCTAAAGAATCGGCTTTGCTAGAAGCTGAGAGAATATTGACAAGTGCCCTCGAAAGAGCTCTAATTGTAGAGGAAGTTCAAAATCAAAACTTTGAGCTTAGGAGGCAAATCGAGATATGCCAGGTATGAATTTAAAATTTGAAATCAATAATCCGAGGCCTGTCTGAAAAATTAAGTTCCGGAACATTAAACATGCATGCGTATATGTTTTCGCAGGAGGAGAATAAAATACTCGAAAAGACAAACAGGCAGAAAGTTTTAGAGATTGAAAAGCTTAGCCAGACCATCATCGATCTCGAGGAGGCTATACTTGCTGGAGGAGCAACAGCCAATACTATTCGTGATTATAAACGACAGATTTCGGAACTAAATGTAAGAACTCGTTTGCCTACTTTTTACATGTAGGCTGTCTATATATATGGGATACGGGCTGACGTTTAGTTTTCTTTAACTTCGTAGGAGGAGAAACGGACGCTTGAACGGGAACTAGCAAGAATCAAAGTTTCGGCAAATAGAATCGCAACGGTGGTGGCTAACGAGTGGAAGGATGACAAGGACAAAGTTATGCCGGTCAAGCAATGGCTAGAAGAGAGAAGGGTATTGCAGGTACGCTCGTTAAATAACCGTAATTCGTACTAGTTTTAGATGGGTTCACTTGAAAAAGAAAATCGGGTTTTCCCTTAACGACATTTTATTTATGTTGTAGGCTGAGATGCAGAAATTGAAAGACAAATTAGCAATCTCGGAGAGAGCTGCCAAGGCAGAAGCACAAGTCAAGGTGACACTTCAAACCCCGTTTAAAAAAAATCGAGTCTTTTTAAGATTGTTAACTGTGGTCTGATCGAAACGTTGTGGTCCAGGAGAAGTTGAAGTTGAGGCTGAAGACGGTCGAAGAAGGGTTAAAGAATGCGCCTACTAGTTTCTATGTGAATACTAACGGATCCCCTAAGAACGAAAAATCGAGCAATTTTTTTGGGATTCTATCGAGTAATACAAGAATGGCTAAGAGATCTACATCACAACCTAGGGCATCCATGCAGATGACCGATGGAAATCAAATTTCGGAGATGAAGCCAATCGACTGTCTGAAAAAGAAGAATAGTTCCGGAGAAAGTTTGTTGAAAAAGAGTTTATGGGCTTCTCGGAATAAGGTCGTCGACAGCAGCGGAAAGGAAAATGCAGAGACGAATAAAAACGACACGGTCAAAATTGAAGCACGCGGCGTTGAGGAAGTTAGAGAAACGGGATACATTAAAGAGATGAAAGGTTTGGAGATAGGTGATACTGAAACCGAAGATATGGTGTCGGGTTTTCTGTACGACAGGCTTCAGAAAGAAGTCATACATTTGAGGAAGTCGTGTGACTTGAAAGAGAGCACATTGAATTCTAAACATGATGAAATCAAGGTAAGGTTATATATACGCAAACATTGCATGCGTGTTTGTGTGTGTTGATGAGAATGTTGAGTTATTACAACATCGTATATTTTATTTTATTCTTTGCAGATGCTTATGAAAAAGATCGATACGCTGACTAGAGCCGTAGAAGTGGAATCCAAGAAAATGAAGAGAGAAGCAGCGATACGGGACAAGGATTCGACGGTAGTAAAGGTGGACGAGAAGATAAGAAACACAAACTCAACCAAAAGGTTAGAGCCATATTTCTCGATTTTTTTTCAAAATCCTCTGTTTCCGTAGAATTTCTTGCACCAGTTAATTTACGACACTCCTATTTGGAAATTTCCGTTTATTAGGTCCGTAATAAATACCTCTTGAAGATACATTTGCTGTGAATAATAATGTGGAGATGTTCAAGAAGTCGCCGGAGCAATAGAACAACAGTATCTTATGATTCTTACAATGTAAATACTACAGCCCATTTCGATGTTGCTATAGATATTATGTCCGAATTGTGAGTGAAGAATACGAATAGCGTGATTTTTATTTTTTTCCGTATTTAGATTACTGTATAAACAATTTGCTGAAAATGTTATTCAATAAAATATTTGTTTATTTTATCTGGTAAATAGTTGTGTCACATATTCAAATGAAAGAAAAAAAAATCTCATCTCAACATCGACGGATCGAAGTATGACGTAACCGACGTTTTTATATTAAATCATCATAGATCAAATCCCTCTTGCAACTTCCTACAAAACATTAAGACACCTCTCGATTTTTCCAAGTACATAAGAAGCTATGGAAAATCGGGGTTGCAAAGCTCTGCTAACCAACATTTAAAAAAAAGAGAGAAAAGGACAAACGGATCCCATTTTTATAGTTCCGGGATTGTAGATAAAGAAGGCCTCCATTTATTAACACTTCTTCGCTTAATGGCCTGAAGCACAATGTATCTCAATTTTAGCTCGTCGGAGCTTTTTACCAGCATCTGCAACTGCTTCTTAGTCACAATTATCTTCACTCGTTGGCCACCGCAACTATCGGACAACGGAGAAACGGGTCCCGTTTTTTCACCTTCTTCCGGGCTAACTTTCTTGTCGTTGTGAGACAATGCGGAATCTGAACCAATGCAGTTTCCCATTTTATTTTTATTTGAATATTGTGGCAACTGAAATAAATTGAGCACATATATATATAGTGCTGCATTTACCGGTATCACGTCTCAGCTTGTTCGAAAACTAGACGTGCAGGCCACCACACACTTGGTATTGTAATTGTTTACTGGTAAAGCCAATTAAATATGTTGGATCCCCACCTAATGTGTTAAAATATAGTGTGATTAGTAGTTAAATACTAATAAATAAATTCTTCGAAACCAAATTATTGTCCGAAAATGCGTAGCAAGAGCTGTTCCTTTTGACTCTTGAGCTAATATACTATTATCTATTAACAATGTCAAACTCTAGACTACTCGACGTTACGAAAAGGGCACATGAATGAAAACTTGAAACTCGAAAGTCAGCTCTTCGGGATCCAATGTGTTCCCACTGTAATAATTTTAGATTTTTCACTTGTTCTGACTTTTCGATTATTCCCGTGTGTTGAAGGATGCCGACGGGGTATCTTAAATTTATGAACATGCCCGTGACGATTATCTCAGCTCGATTTAGATTTATGTAATACTGAAAGTAGTGGACGATTTAGTCGACATGTTATAACTTTGCTAAAACCTAAATTAGATCATAGGTTAGACGGTTATTAATGATGAACTAGTGGTTGATTATTTATTCTATCTCACTAGCTACTAACTCGTGATCTTAATGCTTGTTTTCTCCCTTAATTCGTTATTCGATCGCGCTTTATTCAGGTTGAGCCACTGTAAGCTCAAACTCAGCTCATAAACTTTTTAAGTTTAATAAAATGGCTTAAACTCGACCCGACTCATAGTTAGTCAAGCTCGGCTCCAATAAAATTGAACCGAATAATCGAGTAGATCCGACTCAATTGTCGGTCCTAAACATAGCTTGAAAGGGTTAATTAACAAAAGGTTCCTAAGCTTATATCAATTCCTTTACTCCAAATATTTCCACAACTTTTTTGAATTAAAAATAAGTATAATCTAAAATATATTATCGCTATTGGAATTTTTAAGGTTAAAATCATAAACTACTACATATTTGTTTTTTAGAGGGGGCGAAATATACTCTAATTTATAAATAAATATAAAAACCCATTAAAAAAAAATACAAAATTTCTTTTCTTGCAGTTGGGTTCGCCCCTGATTCCATGTTATCCATCAAATATGGATTAATTGTGGTATTGTGTATGTAAGCATTATTCGACTTTGTATGGTTTCTTGTCAATTGTCATACGTGGCAATGGATCTTATCCACCTATTTAAAAAGACAACGTGCCAGAAGAATGAAAAATCCATCAAATCTTTTGATGCCCACTTTTATTAATCACAAATGGTGTCACACCATAAAATATATATCCCACAAGTTAACAATAGTAACTTCATTTTAATTTTTTTTAATACACTTTAATCCTACTATATTTTCCCTCCCTTTTTTACATCGTATACATCAAAAAGAACTTCTCACCAATACCAAAACCATGTAGCATGATTATGTAATCATGGTTAATCACCATAATCAATTGTATAATCATCACATGACGGTGCAAGATTGAGGGTTCTCTTCACTAAAGTAGTAATCACACGATCTGATGACGTGGCAACTCCTGTTCTGGCCGTAGCCGCCATACCCGTAGTACCCGTCGTAACACGGCTGCGGCGGCGGTGGGACCCCATACCCGTGGTAACATGGGCCCCCACCGTAACCTTGGTAGCACTCCCCGCAACATGTCCTCACCGGATACGGTTGCACCATCACCGGTGGAGGTGGATTCGGGGCCGGGGCCGGGGCTGGTGCAGGTGCAGGGTTTTTTGGCGGATCGGGTTTCGGAGCTTCCTTGGGCTTTTCCGGCTCCTTTGGTTTCTCAAGTACAACCACGTTAGTCTTTTCGGGTTCCTTAGGCTTTTCGATCACAACTTTGGGCTTTTCGGGCTCTTTGGGCTTTTCGGGCTCTTTGGGCTTTTCGGGCTCTTTGGGTTTTTCGGGTTGTTTGGGTTTTTCGGGCTCTTTGGGCTTTTCGGGTTGTTTGGGCTTGGGTGGGTCTTTGATTTCAATGCTTTTGATAACTTTGGAGCCTTTGCGGCACAACTTGTCTCGAATTTTCTCAGGGCTGCAGCACACCACCGTGATCGTGACCGTGTTTGCTTTTTCATCGTACACCTGGTCTCGAATTTCTCTTGTCCGAAATTATAATTAAAAATAAAAAAAAATCAACTCAATTTATTATTTCCCAAAAAAATTAAAAGAAAATTATGATGCATTAATGATTAATGCTATTTATGGGTTGTGATGATAGTGATTGATGATGCATCAAACTTGTGGTGCATGGTAAAAGGGAATCATGAATTATTACCACATTGGAAAAGTGATCAAATATACGGTAGATATACATATATATATATATATATATCTGTATGTATTGGAGTACGTAATACGATGTCGTTGGAAGATGATTTAAAAAAATAATAAAAAAAGATGAGAGAGTAGTATATACTGACGAGGAAATTTGCAGAGGATTTTCTTGACCTTCTTGTAGCAGCAAGGACACTGAAGATCAACCTTCAGCACCATAACAGTAACCTGCAATTAATTTGATCACTAATCAAAATTACACAATTAAGGGATTCTATATATTAAAAATCAATTCTTGAAAAAAACATGTATCAAACAATTGTAAATTTGTGATGATCAACACACACATCTCTATGGAAACTGATCATCAAGAGAGAGAAAGTGATCAAGAGAGAGAGAGGGGTTTTCGTACCTTCTCAGCCATAGCTAGAAGAATTATCGAGGTTTTCGATTTGGGTATACAACCACTAGGTAGATAACAAGGTTGAGAGAGACTTTTGGGAGAAAAAAATAAATACTCAAAAAAGAAAAAGAAAAAAAGATATTATTTTGGGAATATTAGGAAGAAGAAGAAATGAAAGTGGAAACAAAGTAATTAATAAATAAATAAATAAAAACGTACGTGATCGCACGTCAATGGTAATGGAAATAGGTAGAGGAGGTTGAATTTTGATGAAATCATCTAATTTGTCACTCTCTCTCTCTCTCTCTCTCTCTCTCTCTCTCTCTCTCTCTCTCTCTCTCTCTCTAATAATAATAATAATAAAGAGGGAGGGAGGGAGGGGGTTTGTTGACGGGCCAAAATTGCTGACTCTTTACTCTGTATTCATGTGCCTGCTTTTTTAATTTTGATAGGCACTACTCACCTTACTATTATTATTATTATTTTAAATTTTAATTACTCTTCCACCTTCAATTTATTCACAAACAAGCAAATATAAGCTTTAATTCATTTTATTATTTATTAATTTATAGTTAATTAATTAATTTGGTGAGAATGGAGTTATGTGTGGGGGGTATGCACCCCCCACATGGGCAGCCATACAAGACGTGTTATACGACTTCCTTTAGTAATAACGTTAGAAGGGTTCAATCTTCAAATAATTGAAATACATATAATTCCTTGCATCTAATTTAATTATAGGGTTTTTTTTTTAATGAAATGATAAGAAAGTTATATAATTATATAATACCTCTCTTAATTGACTGTATATCCAATATCAATAGTTATGTTTGCAGGTGTGTTGTTTACTTCTTTTACCCGATATGTATGTATATATATTATTATTATATAGTTTGTTCCTAAATTTAGAGTTGAACCAATTTTGGGCGAATTATTGTTAGTGGTGTTGCAATCAAGCAAGTGTTGCCACATGTTTCATAAAATGCAAATATTGATATTGTAAAATAGGAAGACAACATTAATTGAGCCTTCACTTTCAATTACTACACACCAAAACTAATGATAAGGATTTGAAGAAAATTGTTTTTTTTTTATTTGTTTATTTAAATATTATTCAGATGATCGACATGATGTTTCTTCAACTTTATTACAAGTTGAATGCATAAAAATAAAATAAATGGCTTAAAACTTTAAGTTCTTATGGCAATACATATAATGACGTCATCATAAATTTAAATGCAGACGTTGTTTATGTTATGTATACAACAGTCTACAAGAAATAATCTTCTGAGCGACGAGACTAATTTTAACATGATAAAGTAAAACATATTGTCACTATGGTTGTAACTAATAGAGTATCACTAATACTATATAGTGACAATAAAAATGGATTAACTTGCAACAAAAGGAGTTATAAGGTATTAGTAACAACATAACTTAATATATTTACTTAGTGATAATTCTTTATGGTGTCACAATTTTGTTTTTTTTTTCTTTTCCTTCTTTTTTCTTTTTTTCTTTTTGTAATTGTTATTGCAATACAAACTGAATTTTGAAAAAATATTTATATGAAACCGCACATACTGTAACACCTGGGTTGGGCCATAGAGAAGCTGAATTTCAAAATTGGCCCACATCTAAGTTAGGCTCAATTCAAATGGACTACGAATAGCCCATAAAACCCAATCAATAACCCACATTCCACATACAAATTACCAAATGAATTGTACATTTAAGATAAATAAATAAATAAATTAATGAATTAATTACAATTTAAATTTTAACAGTAACAAGATGTATTATTTATGAATCATTGTGTATGAAATTGGAGATTCTGTTGGTTCAAAGTCACAAAACAAAAAACACATCAATCACCTTTTTTATTTACTCCCAGATCCACAAGTTTATCTTTACACGTGTTGCTCTGTCATTGGCTACCACGAGTGGCTCGGGACCTACTAGATTTTGTAGCATTTGGAGATTCTGATAGGCCCTGCCACAACCGACCCTAAGTTTTTTGGTTACGTTCGTACATACTCATTGATTGGAATCTCATTTCATTTTTTTTTTTTTTTTTTTTTTTTTACACTCTAGTTACATATGGTAAAATATTAATTAATCAAACATAATTATTGATGACTCATTTAATCATATTACTTAATCCCACGTCAACTCCTCCGTCAAAATCCACAATCGGTTATTTACATCGAATGGATTTAATCGTACATGTACTCATAATTATATAAATCTATGTGCATATGTCTTTAGTGGTTATTTAGTTAGATCTATGGTTAAAATTCAGACAGTGAATAACCAAGTTAGCATCTAATTCCTAATTGTCGCAACCTAAGTAACCCATACTTCCGTAATTAGTTTTAATACTTTTGTACTAATACAATGTTGAACTTTTAAAGGTGATTAAATATAATTATTTGCGAAGGCCCAAATCCACAAATAGTAGATTAAATTGGGCCAACACAAATGCTCGGCCTAAGTGACATATAATTCCATAATTAGTTTCGATAGTTTGTGGTAAAAATTAAATTAAATTTTTTGTCCAATATTAAATGTGACCAACCACCAAAAATAAAAAGAAAATATGAGGCGCATCCTTTTTATAGAGCAAATAGTAGTAGACTAGTAGGAGTGGCGGTGTGGGCCCAGGGTTATTAGACGCTGATTCAGCACTGCCTATTTTTTCCTCACTCACATTAAATACAGACACGTCATAATCCAGTCTCGCCACCAATATATATATTTCATATCCCCTCACACACACACACACACACACACATAAACACACACGAAGAAATTAAGCAAAGAGGAAAAGGGATATGGGTGAGGTAAGCCCTATTAATTTGATATTTATTTAATTTATTGTATTTAGGTACGTCATTTTAATTATATTCATCAATTAATTTGAATTAAAATTTAATAATGATTGAATTAATGAGAAGAAAGAGGCGGGAAAGAAAGAAGAGGAGGAGAAGAAGAAAGAAGAAGAAGAAGAAGTGAAAAAAGAAGAGAAAAAGGAAGAAGAAAAGAAAGATGAATTAATTAATGAAGATAATATAATTGTGCTCAAAGTTGACATGCATTGTGAGGCTTGCGCCAGAAAAGTTGCTAGATCCCTCAAAGGCTTTCAAGGTTATATTAATTAAACGTGTTTTACTTTTAATTAAATTTAATTAACACGTTTTTTTTTCAATTCATACTTGAATAATTAATGAATTAATTAATTAATAGGAGTGGAGGAGGTGACGGCGGATTGCAAGGCGAGTAGAGTGGTGGTGAAAGGAAAGGCGGCCGACCCTGTAAAAGTGTCCCAAAGAATTCAAAAGAAAAGTGGCCGGAAAGTTGTCATCATTTCGCCGTTGCCGAAGCCGCCGCCGGAAAACAAGCCGGAGGAAAACAAAGCGGAGGAGCCACCCAAAGAAGAAAAGAAAGACGAGGTACATAATATAATATAAATATCTTCTATTCTTATTTCAAATATTTCAATTCATGACATGTTATAACATTAATTATATTGCCGTAATTAATTTGTCTCAATATCATTTATGCGGCTGTCTCCTCCTTACCAATTCAAATACTCCATCTACATTCTAGAGAGAGAGAGAGAGATTAAGACATTGCCGACAAATTTATGTGGTGTTTGCAAAATAAAATTAAAATTTGAAATTTGAAATAATGTGTGTAGTTATTACAACTTATAATTTAGGTAAATTATCTCAAACGTACTTACAAATTAGAAGAAGAAAAAAAAGGAGAAAAAAAATTGCAAAACACCACTGCCTTCCAAAATTCAATTATTTTTTTTTTTTTTTTAAATAGTAATGATTCTTTTAATCATAAATTTATGACCTATAGTTGGTAGTAGAAATTGGTAAGGATTGTGGGATAGATGCAATAAGTGATAAGGGGGCAGTGCAACTTGTGCTTCTGCTATATTTCATATATAGCTGACATGAAAACTACTGAACATCAGAAATTGGCAAAGTGGATACAGACAACCCACCATTGGCACATTTTACAATGCTGGTGAAATAAAAAGGCTACTATTGAAAATATAACCCTTTATTAATTCCCTGGATTTTTTATTTTTTTAGTTATTTATAATATATTTGCATGGCTGCAGTAAAATCCATGTAAATGGGGTCAATATGAATTCACGGGTATATATCTCTAATCCAAAAACAAATGACGCACGTGCTTGGAAAATGATACTACATATACTTTATTGGAGTTACGTACTTTGTGGATTTTGGAAAAATCAGAAATATATTTTTGATTCTTCAACTCTCAAAATTATAAGAACCCTATTTTTCAATCGATATAGATTATATTTTCAAAATTATTTTCTTAGTTAAGATAGTAATTAGCACTCGCTAATTGGATCTTTTATTTTCGATGGAGAGAGTAATGTAATTGTTGGTCATATGTTGAGTTTAAAGAAAGATAAAACTTATGTGATTTCCAAAAAAATCCGAATTCTGAAATTTATGGGCCATTTGAAATTGGAATGAATTTTTAAATTCCGATTTTTTTTTTTTGAATTGGGATTAGAATAGATTTTGCACTTCCAAAAATTTTTGGAAATTTTTCAAAAAGGCTAATTTCGATCCGATCCATCCCACTTTCACCCCTATTTTTTTCCATGTTAATGCAATTCCATTTGCCAAGTAAAGAAAGTACTAAGTTTGGATATGCACAGAAGGATTCGTCGAACCACATGAATTTGATTCGATAGCTTCCACGATTGTGCAGTAGACAAAATTGTTCTTCGTTTAAAATAAGAAGCTTCAACGAATTTGAAGAGGAACTAGCCTTTTTTTGCTTCTTTTTGTCTAAACTTTCCCTTATTTTATCCGAGTATAAAGTTTGTATTATCACATCATCGATCTTGTGAATCTATCATTACTCGTCTCTTGATTTTAAGTTAAAAATTTAATATTACTTGTTGATTATATATTTATGAGTCATAATCTTTTTTTTTCGTTTCAAAATTTTCGCCTAGCAGCCTCCACCTGTCATAACAATTGTACTGAAAGTTCGAATGCATTGCGAAGCATGCGCGCAGGTACTCGAAAAGAGAATTCGCAAAGTTAAAGGTAAATTACAACTTTTCAATAACAATATTTTACACCAATTTAATTTTAAAATATTCGATAATAATAACGTGATGCATTAACATATCAGGTGTAGAGTCGGTGACAGCGGATATCGGAAACGATAAGGTGACAGTGAAAGGCGTTCTCGATCCAGAAGAGCTGGTGAACGACGTGTACAAGCGAACAGGTAAACAAGCATCGATAGTTAAGGAAGAAGAAAAGAAAGAAGAACAAGAGGTTAAGAAAGACGAAGAGAAGAAAGACGAAAAACAAGACGAGAAAAAAGAAAGCAAGGAAGACAACGAAGAAGAAGAAAGTAAGAAAATGGAGATAAAAAAGATGGAATATTGGCCTCCAAAGTACTACATGGACCATGCTTACGCCCCTCAATTGTTCAGCGACGAAAACCCGAACGCTTGTTCGCTTATGTAATGGAAATCTCGTTCGCGCGCGTTCGTAGTTTCAATTGAATTTATAATATCTTATTATATTATGTGTTGTTCGATGACTATATTATTATGCGCTGGCATTTGACGCCGCAGGTTTTTTTTTTAATTATTTAATTAGTAGTGTTCGAATAATCTCTGCAGATTGTTTTGCCAGAGGAATTAATATGGATGTACATAGTGAAGTTTGAGGATGTTGTTGTTTTTTGTTTGTCAAATGTATTATTTGGCAGCCCCATAACTATGTAATATGATTATTATTATTTTTTGAGTTTCTAAATTCGCAATTTTTTCCCACCACTATTGGTGCTCTGAGTCGTTGATTTAAACTTTCGTAAACGCTCGGCATGTGAATATATCCCCCCGTTTGCCGCATTAATGGAATTACCTTTTGAATATGCAAAATTAATTCATGATGATTATTTGAATGCTTGTTAAGTAGTGTTTGCCATTATCAGCTGTATTCCCTCATCCCTTTATCTTCTTTAGCTTATTCCTCCTCTCCAATTTCGGATTTTTTTTTGTTTTAAATTTTTTCAACGGTTTCCGACGAATTAATTGAATTCTTGAATTCTTGATGAGTATTACACAAGTGCTAAGCATATATACCTGATAATGTGTGACTGTGAAAGGCACAAATCTTACATTCTTAACTTTAGCAAATCTCAAGTTATATTCTAAATAATATCAGAAATTTATTTGAAATATTGTCTGCGTTACGTTACCTTACATGGTCCCTGTCACTAGTGTTTTTCGCTATTGCGTACATGTTTCGATATAGTTTGGCAGTTGCCCCCACAAATCCACGTCCAATAAAATTCATACAAAACCTCACAACAGAAAAGAAAAAAAAAAAAAAAAAGATGCCTTTGGTCCTTAAGCTTGTCGCTAGCCATTACCATATATATACCGGACCGGTACTTATTATTACGACGAGTATTGCATGCGCGTTGTATTATTCTCCATTCCACTCCCGAAAAGTGAAACACACGCCACAATCATAGATTCATTTGTGTTGCCGTTGTTCTTCGATAGTAACTTAACTCGAATTGAATTTCATGTATTCGAATTTCAGACGTATACTTTAAGAGTTACACTTACATTGGGTCAACTGATAAAGTCGTCTCTCAATCTCCAAAATCTTACTTTTATCATACATCCCATCCAAAACTGAAAAGCTCCACTCCCTCTTCGCCTTTCTAAGTGAAATTTATTAAATTTTTTTTTTTTTTTTTTATTAATTGAAATGTAGCATAGCAAATAATAATTTTGAGAAAATGAGGGAAAGATGGCCTCATAATGAACGTCAACCCGAAAATGCAAATGGTTAGGCCCAGGCCCAAATACGGGTCCACCACTAACCCGGAAATGTTCGGTTCGTACACATTTTATATGGCCTAGAAGTTCGCGAAAAGTCAAATATGTGGGGACCACTTTCTGAAAAAGTAACAGTCAAAGTCTATGAGACACTTGGCGTGTTCCGTCAGTCGTTTTCTCCGTCCATTATCACCGGCTCATATTACTTTCAAAATCCTAATTACAAATCTACCCCACCAAATATTTTAAAAATAAAATATTGTTTTTTTTTTTGTTAATTTTTAAATTAAGTTAATTCGAAAAAAAAAAAAAAAAAGACGTCGTAAAATCACCTACGTCAGTGCTTTGTTAATTAATATTTCTTTTTCCTATGTGAAAAAAGTGCATTCGCCGCCACGTAAATGTGCACCATAAGGGCAATCTGTACGGTTCCAACCGAACACGCACGCGGCACATGCTGAGCTCTCTTACGTGGATTCCCGCTAACTGCTCCGTCACACCAGAGCCCGTCAAGTGTCATACTGTATGCATTTCCAGCCTAACGGCGTGGATGCTCCGTTAGTTCCCACGGTAAAACTATGGGCAGCTTGTCCGACGTGGCTACTCCTTAACGGGTCCCACATAAATGCCACGGGAGCAGCAAGTGTGGTCCTTCCGTGGCTAGTGTGTCAGGAACCGGACAACACGTGACGCTCACACGCTCCAAAAAGTGGTAGCCCATCAGCCACTCTATGGACTATTATGGCCAGTAATTTCATTCAACGAGCAATCATATGGTTTTTCATTGGCTACAGTTGCGAAATTACGTAATTACCCTCGTGATGAGCACTAACATTCTTTGAGATTTTACTTTTCTAGGGAAAAGCTAATGGTGATTTCGATGTTTAATTTAGATTGTATTGCACCATATATTCAAATTCGAAATTATATCATTGGCTGGTGCCTTAAATTGATGGGGCTCTTTTGGAATTGATTAAATCCTAAGATTCTTTTGTTTCATGGAACAATATTATTCTAAATAAGTAAGATAATTATTGCAACAGTATACTCCCTCGTTTCTTAATTAAATGTTGTTTTTCAACTTTGCACGAGTGTTAAGAGTGTCAATAATGTGTTATGATTTTAGAAAATAATATATTTAAAAGACTAAAATAATATCGATCATTTACTAATGTGATAAGAGATGGTTAATATTTAAAATCTAACTAATAAAATTAAAATAGAAAAAAAAAAATAACGTTTAGTGCAATATTAAAAATGTAAAGTAACAAATAATGTGGAACAAAGAACTTAGGAATCATGCATGAACACAAACTAGGATAAATGAACTGGAAAATGGCCACCCTTTTATCGCACTTTCTAAATTCTTTATTCTTGGACAACTATATTTGGTTATGTTTTTAATTTACAGTTATTCTTTTTTTTTTTCTAAAAAAGAATAATTTGTGTTTTATTTAGCTTTAAAAAAAAAAAAAAAACCTCTTAAAACAGTTATTAAAATATATTTCTCCACTAGACATGATTTGACTGTTGCATTAAAAATAGTTGATTTTTACAATAAATAATTTCCGAAACCATTCCAAACATTGCCTAAGATTTTTATACCGGATATAGGATTCACAAGACTTTCTACTAGTGTGAATTATTTGTTAGAAATCATTTCTTATAATAGCATATATATATTTTCCAATAGTTATATATTATAAAAATAGATTATTATTATTGTAATATGAGATCCATCAATTATTGATTTATCTTATCCAATAAAATTCCCTCCGCAGAGAAAATTAAAGATAAACTCCAAAATAAATAAGTGGGTTTTTCTATAATCTGCCAAACAGAACCCAGCACCTTCTTCTGCTCCACCCTCTATATATATATATATGCCACGCGCCGAAGTACAGCGTACATAATTACCACACAACAATAATCCCCATTACACTGTACTTACCTAGCTCTGACCAAAAACCCACTGCCATTTATGGTTTCTAACTCCACCACCACCACCAAGCCCGCCGCCAACGGCGGCGATGCGGCGGCGGGGGCCGCCGACGAGAGATGCTCCGTGGAGGAGGTGGCGCTGGTGGTGCCGGAAACCGACGACCCGACTCTCCCCGTGATGACATTCCGTGCATGGGTTTTGGGGCTCGTGTCATGCACGATTTTGATTTTCCTCAACACTTTTTTCATCTACAGAACGCAGCCGCTCTCCATCTCCGCCATTCTTATGCAGATAGCGGTGCTGCCGGTGGGGAGGTTCATGGCGGCGACTCTTCCGACGAAGGAGTACGCTCTGTTCGGGCGGTGGAGGTTCAGCCTCAACCCGGGCCCGTTCAACATAAAGGAGCACGTGATTATCACGGTGATGGCTAACTGCGGGGTTTCGGTTGGCGGCGGCGACGCTTACTCCATTGGTGCAATTACTGTGATGAAGGCGTACTATAAGCAGAGCTTGAATTTCCTCTGCGCCCTTTTAATTGTCTTGACCACTCAGGTAATTTCTTTAAAATCTCTGTATTAAAAAAAAATATATTTATTTTCTGAATTTATGTGTTTATCAAATTTTCTCTTCATAATTTCTGTTTTCAATATTTGAACTTATAGATGTTTCTTCTAATTTTGAAGAATTTTGACTGGAGATTGTTGATTCTGGAAGATGAGGAACACAAAATAAATTGATTAAAAATAAATAGCCATCAATCATTAAAAAAAACACCAAAAATGAAATAAAAATGGAGTCTTTATGGCATCTTGCAATTCCCATTTCCCCCTTTTTTGGTACCAGGATTTTGTTAATCTGATTTATTAATGTATTAATTAATTAATTACAGATACTGGGATATGGATGGGCTGGTATGTTGCGAAAGTACTTGGTCGATCCGGTTGAGATGTGGTGGCCTTCGAATCTCGCTCAAGTTTCCTTATTTAGGTCCGTTTTTTCTAACATTTGTTCATTATGTTACGATTCATTGATTTTCTAACTTCAAGAATTCGATATATCGCATTCGGAGTTATTAGCGAATGATGATCGTTCTAGTCTAGTTACATCATTAAGCATCACCGGTACAAAATTTGTCTTTTAAAGAAGGCATTGTTATTTTAATTAGTATCTTGTTCTTAACTCTGATGTAAGAGAATCTAGAAAGTGATTGAAGGTGGATCGATTCTCTTATATATGAAACCTGTTCCGAGCATGCACTAATATTCGAACAAAATTAAAAGAGTGGCCAATTTGTAGTAATTATTCCCCTGTTCAAAATATCAAGACAGGACACTGGACGAGTTTTTCAGACACAAGTAACCTTTTTTTCTTTAGTTAATGGTCCTCAATAGAAATTCTCTTGATGCAATTTATCCACTAGCCCACTTTCTGATGCCGATTTTCGATTCTTTTTTCCATCTTTTGTGCAGGGCACTGCATGAAAAGGAAACAAAGGCACAAGGCATAACAAGAATGAAATTCTTCCTAATCTGCATGACAGCAAGTTTCATTTACTACCTATTCCCCGGTTACCTTTTCCAGATTCTCACCTTCTTCTCATGGGTGTGTTGGGCCTGGCCCCACAGCATCACCGCCCAGCAAATCGGCTCCGGCTACCACGGCCTCGGCGTGGGCGCGTTCACACTCGACTGGGCGGGCATCTCCGCCTACCACGGCAGCCCGTTGGTCACACCCTTCTACTCCATTCTCAACGTCATGGTCGGTTTCATCATGTTTATTTACATAATCGTCCCTATCTGCTACTGGAAGTTCAACACCTTCGACGCGCACAAATTCCCCATATTCTCGAACCAGCTCTTCACTTCCGCAGGCCACAAATACGACACCACTAAAATCTTGACCCCACAGTATGACCTCAACATATCTGCATACGAATCGTACAGCAAGCTTTACCTAAGCCCGCTCTTTGCACTTTCGATTGGATCGGGTTTCGCAAGATTCACAGCCACGCTCACTCACGTGGCTCTGTTTCATGGCGGTGATATATGGAAGCAGAGTAAAGCGGCTGTGAAGAACGCGAAATTGGACGTGCACGCGAGGCTGATGAAGAGCTACAGCCAAGTGCCTCAGTGGTGGTACCTGGTTTTGCTCGGGGGCAGTATCGTCTTTTCACTGATGATGTCGTTTGTGTGGAAGAAAGACGTGCAGCTACCCTGGTGGGGGATGCTTTTCGCCTTTGCTTTGGCTTGGATCGTCACTCTCCCTATCGGAGTTATTCAAGCTACAACCAATCAGGTAAAAAAGATAAAAATAAAAAAGGTTCTTGATCATTTTGTGTGGTATATTGAGAAATTTATAATTTTTCTTTTTTTCTTTTGCAGCAACCTGGATACGACATAATTGCGCAGTTCATTATAGGGTATATACTTCCAGGAAAACCAATTGCGAATCTTCTTTTCAAGATTTACGGGCGAATAAGCACAATCCACGCACTTTCTTTCCTAGCGGATCTCAAACTCGGACACTACATGAAAATCCCACCGAAATGCATGTTCACAGCTCAGGTCAATATCTTTAGCTATTACCATCACTATGAATGAATTTTCAATAATCATCATATAATAAAAAGATTTTAAAAAAAAAATCCAATTTTCCAGCTCGTAGGGACGTTTGTGTCTGGTACAGTCAACCTCGCAGTAGCATGGTGGATGCTCGGAAGTATTGAGAACATATGCGATGTGGAGGCATTACATCCTGAGAGTCCATGGACTTGCCCTAAATTCCGAGTTACATTCGATGCTTCTGTGATATGGGGTTTGATTGGGCCCGAAAGGCTGTTCGGGCCCGGTGGGATGTACCGGAACCTTGTATGGCTGTTCCTAATCGGAGCTTTCTTGCCGGTTCCTGTTTGGGTACTGAGCAAAATCTACCCGGAGAAGAAGTGGATTCCGTTGATCAATATTCCTGTCATCTCTTACGGATTCGCCGGAATGCCTCCGGCGACCCCCACGAACATCGCCAGCTGGATTATTACAGGAACCGTGTTCAACTACTTTGTGTTTAAATATCGTAAAACGTGGTGGCAGAGGTACAATTATGTTCTGTCGGCCGCGTTGGATGCTGGAACGGCTTTTATGGGGGTCCTGTTGTTCTTTGCTCTGCAGAACGAGGGCGTAAACGTAAAATGGTGGGGTTCGCAGCCTGATCACTGCCCTTTGGCTTCTTGCCCTACTGCGCCTGGGATTGTTGTACAAGGTTGTCCTGTTTTCAGTTGAAAACTGAGGTTTCGTGTTTTGTAACATTCGTGTACTAGAAAATGTAATAGCCCGATTACACTTTTCGAGTTAAAACCAAAAGCTTTGGCCTTTGGATTGTTGTAAATCCTTTGATAACACGGTAATGCTAAAGCGACTCGCAGTTCCAGATTCTTGCTTTACTGTGCAACTGAAATACATTTTTCGCTTCGACGATGATAAGACAAGAATCAAATCAAACCAAACACAACTAGTCGAAAACAGGGTTTTCGTTTTTTAAGGTTGACAACATAATATTATTATCAAGAAATAGAAGAATGAACACAGCAAGAAGCAAAATTGTACATCAAAAAACAGATTATTATTTCTATGACCGGCTATTTCCAGATTAAAAATCCAACATCGTAAGCAAATTCAACCCGACATGTAAAAAACTTTTGTTCCTATCAATTACATCAACAACTCAAAAACTAACTCCCATGTGCAGTTTTCTTCTTTTTTTTTTCTATTTTTTGTTTACCTCTGTATGGACTTGTAAAGCACCACGGTCACGTATTTCGAGAGGAACCGATTGGTTGAACCGAGCGCCACAAAGGCAGGACGGTTCCTATCTCTATGCATGTAGAGATGATTAAGCACCACATGCTGAGGCCTCGAGTAAGGTGGCTGAAACTCCATCTGAGGTGACGGGGCGTTGAGCAAAGTCACGTTAAGATGCTGTGGAACCAAAGGCGGCTCCTTTGCAAAGTCCTCTTGACCTAGCTGATAATTGTTGTAGCTCGAATCTGGCGACTGTGGTGGCTCGAAACCAGATATGCTGTCGGTATCTTCCGGAACATAATCCTAATCCAAGAAATGACAGCCTTTTACAAGAATGGAAATAACAAAGTTCTAGAGGAGGAGAAGAAAGAAAACGAAAAAAAGGGTACCTGCAAATCAAGAATGTTGTAAGCATTTCCGGAATCGTCTTGCTCCCAAGGCTGATCGGGCGAGTACCTCCATTCTCCATCCACGAGAAACCTGTACTGATAAACTCCCGAAGGAAGAACGTTCATCAAGGTGAAGTCTTTCCCTGCTCTTTGCAACGGCGTCCTGTGCAATTTAAAACGCGGTTCGTAATCTTTTATATGTGTGACAAAATAAATTATCTTGAAATTGAAATTAATTAAACAAAAAAAAAAAAAAGGTAACCTTGATTTCCAATCATCCCACGAACCCTCCACGGAAACTTCCTTGCCACCATAACTCCATGTGATCATAGTTGGAATACCTTGCTCGTCATTGTATGTTTCTTCATTAGCCGAGCTAGTTTGCATCCATGAAGGGCTAGGGATGTTCAATTCATCTGGTCTTTGTAAAGGGACAGCTGGCATCTGACAGAAAACAAACGATGCAAATTCCGCTCGGTCAACCGAATAAATCGTTCAAAACCTTGAATCACCAATTCTATTCAACTTTGGATAAGATTCAACAAGCATAGAGTCAAGAAATCGGCCAATTCGCAGCCATGTGTTTTTGTTCTCTAAATAATCAAACATATGTAAGATATCCAACGACACCCAAATCCTCGAAAACACCAACTATGTTGCTCTAAAAATTGAATTCGACAAAACAAGAAATCTGAAGCAAAAGGGCTTTGCTATAATTAGCATACAACATCATTGCAGCAAAATCATTTATTACCCTCATGAACACAACCATCAAATTCGTCAGATCTAATTCAATTATTGGTGTATGCTATTGCTACAGTCACACATGCATACAGTCATATACTACAATTCATATCTATCTGTAAATTTCAGTCAATTTAAACGAAAGATCCAATCTTTACACACCAAATCAGATAAAAAATAAATCTTTGAGTAATAAAATTCACAAGAAAGAATCCCATGATAAAACAAAAAAGAATTAAAAAATAAATCGACAAAACTGACCTGAGGCCTGAACATCAAGGGAGATTGAGAAGCCCTAGGGCTTGGAGGGGGGGATTGCCCCATAAACTCGGTGTAGCTAACGTGCGCACCTTCCTGATCGGCCATGCTAACCTGCGCGGTGTCGGAATCATCAGCGCCGGATTGGCTGTCGCTGCCACCCTCTTCCCTTCCGCTTGCATTCCCCATTTTTTATATTCCCCCCTCCAACCCTTTGTTGCCAAACAACAGGAGAAAAATCGAATCTTTTAAAGAATCTTTATTTACAGATTCCTCTTTAATAGAGGGTGTGTAATAACATTGCTCGAAGGAGGGGGAACAGGAAAAAGGGAGAAGAAAAAAAAAAGAAATAGGGTACAATACAACAAGTGAATGTAAGAAATTTTATGAAGGTGATGGATCGATGAGACTGATTGAGAAAAGGAATCCCATTTTCCTTGCGATGAAAATTGTATTCTGAAGAATCTTGATTGTGACTAATTGTTCTTTCTTGATTGTTTGATTAATTAATTTAGAAAAAAAAAAAAAGTAAGTGGAGGCCTAAAGCAGGCTGTGGTATTACGCAATCCTGAGACTTTGGAAGAGTGTGTGTGTGTGTGTGTGTGTGTGATTATGTGTTGGTAATCTGCGTTGAT